TGCGGCGAAATTTTTTCCGCACGAATATCGGTGCGGAAAAATCTTTTCCGCACGGCTGTCAAAAAAAAAATCAATAATTTACTACAAATGATGTATGTATATACAGGGTGATCCAGTATAAAGTGAACCTACCTTTTCGCTAAAAATTTTTTTTTTCAAAAAATGAAGATAGCCATTTGGTGTATTTTGTTCCTAGGTGTTCGAGAACGTTTTTCGAAATTTAATTAGATTTTTCGTTAAAGCGCTGTGACCAGAAAAGTAATTTTTTTAAATGGAATTACCTATATTTAAATCATTTTTTTAACGTCCCTATTTTTCTCATTTCAAATATATAGTTTGTTTATCTTTATTTTAAACATTTGCGATATATTCTCACTTCAAAATTCAAATAAAAATAGCCAAAAAGGTATCAAGGTAAATCTAAATAATTTTACCTTTAATAAAGCTGCTGGTGATTATGTTTTATGATACCTTTTCGGCTATTTTTATGTGAATTTTGAAGTGAGAATATATTGCAAATTTTTAGAATAAAGACAAACCAACTATATATTTGAAATGAGAAAAATAGGAACGTTTAAAAAATTACTTTTTTGGTCACAGCGCTTTAACAAAAAAATTTAATTAAATTTTGAAAAACGTTCTCAAACACCTAGAAACAAAATACACCAAATGGCTATCTTGATTTTTTAAAAAAAAATTTTTTTGCGAAAAGGTAGGGGGTGTTCACTTTATACTGGATCACCCGGTACTTATTTCCGCACGTCTGTAGAAAAACTATTGTACCTAACACACGCAGAATATCTGTTTTCTGCACTCGGCCGCTTCACCGAATTCCGCTACGCGTCTTTCGGTGAACGACAGACTCGTGCGGAAAAATGTATTCTACCAGCTTGTATAAGAAAATAAATAAAATTAATTTTTTTTTGCACTGATTTTACCAATGGAATTCGCTATGGGATTCCTCTGAAACTTTTAAATTATAGCGAATTTTATTGGTAGAATTAAAACAAAAAATGTATTTATCTCTTTCTTATGCAAGCTAGTAGAGAAAGACACGAATACACTCAGTGTGCACTATCCCTTTGAATAGAATTCCCTATAAATAGCATGCAGGCAATGCGAACATTGTGCAAACTAGAAAACCAGTTAGGGCCAGTTGCTGAAAAGTAAAAATATAAAAAATAGATATATTTGTAAGGTGTAGGGACATATTTTTTGTCCATCGCAACGATCATGGGAGGGGGGTAATTACCCCCATTACCCCCCCCTTGTATACGCCGGTGGTTTAGTGCAGTGGCGACGCCAGGGGGGGGCGGGGCCCTCCCCTGAAATTTAGCTGCCCCCCCCCCCCTGAAAACTTGCCCTCATGTCGACAACAATGCAATGCAACATGAGTAACGTCTGCTCTCTGGTTAATTTGATATTTGGTGGGCGCCAGGCAACCTCGACTATGCTTTCACTTTTCTGGGATTCCCCCAAACATATTTGTGTCGGCAGGTACAGGGTTTTCCTGTGTATTTTTGGCACCTCACCTGAAGGCCGGTTTCTCAATAGCAAGCAAGTCACCCCCGGGTCAGAGCAGTTAACCATAACTCCAGGGTAAACATTGCAATTGGACACGTTTACGCTGGACTAGCTATCGAGAAACCGACCCTGAACGGTTAATTGAATAGGTATCAAGAAGATTTACCTATATACAGGGTGTTCCTTTTTCGAGAGCAATCATTGGAATATAGGAAACGGTAAGAGATACAGGTTCAGTTAAATTGGGACAAAGTTGCGCAATTTCTTCCTTAACAAAACGCTACTTCGAAATTTGGAAAATTCCGAATACTTCCGGAGATACATGGAAATCAAAATTTTGTAAAATCATTTCTATATTTTCCTGGACTCATTTGTAAAGGTATTTCAAATAAACTTCACTTTATTGGGGCAACTTTCTCCCCTCTACATAATGGTGTAACCAAATTTGAAATCCGACGTTTCGTCTTTTGCCGATCATCATCAACTTTATTTTTTTAAATAGAGGTTTGCATTTGTATGAATTGTATTCGGAGTTTCTTGATCTCCCAAAAGCAGTAACACATTTGGCCATTGATTCCGATTTTGTATCTCTTACCGTTTCCTATATTTCAATGGTTGTCCTCGAAAAACGGACACCCTGTATACAAAATCCAAATAAAAACCTTTTTGATACATTCAATTAAGCTGTTCAGGTGGAGTTCAAAAATATACGGGTAAACTTTGCAATTCCCATTTTTTATTTCAAAGAAGAAAAGCAATAAAGTAAGAACAAGTGCCCCCCCTAATTTTTTCTGGCCCAGCCTGGCCCCCCCTAACGTAAAACCCTGGCGTCGCCACTGGTTTAGTGAATAGAAAATGACAATGACCGACATAGAATGGTGGATATAAAAACCAGTCAGAAATGTCATCTTGTCATGATCTTGTCATCTGAATTATTTTGTTGTTTGCATCGTCGTTGAGTGTTGAGTTTGTTGTTTTGAATTGTAAATTTGTGAAAGAAGTGATAAGTGCATCACAAGCAGCCGGTTTAAGCAGTCATTGCCACAATATGTGACCAGGCGCAAAAAATTAATCGTCCACAAGCGAATTGCAGCGACAGACCATAGAAATCTACATGAAAAACAACACAGAAACAGAAATGTTGTTTTTTTTGGAGATAAACAACCTAGAAATCGTAATCGTGCCACTGTATTCAAGGAAATTCTAATATGACGGCCATTCAAATGGGAAAATTGACATTTTCAAAAAGCAGATTGGAAATAGTGTTTTAGTCAGCTCCATGAGTCAGATACGCCAGATCATCTAGATTATAGACTATTTTATTCATTGATTCTCACATAAATATATGAAAATAAAATTAATAAAATTTTAGTTTGAAGTTTCGGAGCACTGCTTTATTTTGAATTTGAAAAAATTGAAATGTCAAACCAGTCATTTAAAACTGAGATTCAAACGGCCCGCCAAATATTAATTCGACGACTACACCGCTATGGCAGCACCGTCGGAAATGTCACTTGGCGACTACAACAGGAGTGAGCGTTCTATATCAACAATATAAATCACTTTTCTATGGTCGATATAACCACAAATGTAGGTACGTCAGCGCATATGCAACACATCGGCGAGTCTCTCGCCGCTCGCAGAAAAACGTATAAAAATGTGCGCATACGCAAAGGTGCGAATACTCAGAAATGGGATTTCATAATCTTCGTACATTTACGTAGACTTTCTATAGTTGCGAATGGTCAAAAATTGGCCCCCGTCCGTAATAATGACATTTGAACGGATGTGAAATAATTTTAATTGGGAAAAATAGAAGTGGCTGTCAGAATTGAATAGTATATTGTTGTATTAGGAGTAGAAGCTTTACTTTTTTGTGCTGAAGCGGTAGGTTTGCGAGCCGAACGTAGTGAGGCTTGCAATACTGCTGAAGCACAAAAAAGTGCTTCTACTCCGTATGCAACACGCTATTTTTTCTCCAAACGAATGGGGTAAGCTCGGGGGCAATTGAATGGTTGAGCGGCAGTAAAAGTACGAGCGGCACTAAAAGTACTTTGGCTGCCGCTGGGGTTGCCAAGCAGCATAGAAATTAAGTTTCTACCACCTCGACAGGTGTTAACCCGCTGGATTTGCCTAGCAGCATAGAAATCAAATTTCTGACATCTTGACAGGGGTTAACAAAGTGACGTTTTTCTGACGTTTGGAGAAAAAGATATTTTTTCTCCAAACGTCGTTCAGATTGAAGAGTCTGGGCGACGTCCAGTGCAGAGCGTACCCGATAGAGAGTGCACTCCGAGTGTGCCTGGCGATTCGCCCAATCTGAACGGCCAAAACGCATTCTCTCCTCATAACATCACTATTTATGGGATGCTTTGATTTTGATTTTGTTGCCTTTTCAAAATTCACTGTGTTCGTGATTCTAACATTTTTGTAAAATAAGAAAAAAGAAAATTCAAAGATAATCAACTCTTATTTTATTTTATTTTGATTTTTTTGGTAGAACTTATCACATATAAAATAATACCTCGTAACCCCTAATTCTTATTTTAATTTATTTCCTATTTTATTTTATTTGTTGGATAAACTCGCCATAACTCCCAACAATAATATTTACAATATTTGCCTTTATTATTGGTTAGAACATAAACATAACACAAACGCGCATGCGGGGCAAATTTTATCTTACTATTTTATGGGATGCAAAAGTGTGCGTCGAGGTGTCGTCAGGTAAAAATCTACTGACAATCTGAACGGCTGGGTAAATTTTACCCAAAGCAATCTGAACGGTCAGAGCGCGCTCGGGCGACAACCGACGTTCAATCTGAACGCAGTCCTGGCGTGCTGGCGGCACGGAATGCCGAGAACTCAACACCTGGAAGTTCAAGACACTTACATCTGAACAAGCGCTCTAATGTCGTAAATTGTGCGTAGTAGGTTTACTGATATAGTCATTTGAACATAGCTAGACGGACAATATGATAAAATTACAATATTTGCGGAATCCTGGAATAAGTAAAAAGGCGCCATAAAAGGCTGATAGCGCGCCTGCCCGAGCACTTTTCGAGTTCACTATATCCAGACTCACTGTATTATAATTTAGAAATGACCAGTATCATTATAATGATGTTCTGGCTAATCCACATAAGGCCTTATTTCTAATGTCATGTTTATGAGAGTACATATCCCTCTCTTTTAGGATTTTTGGACTCTGTCCAATATAAATCGAGTCACATCCATCACTATACAAGGAATAGAATTAATTACATACCACAGCACATTGTTTCAAAATTTCTCCTGCATCTTTTAGTTTTTGTAATTTATCACACATTTTTGAGTCGTTTCAATGTTGTTTTGTTTTTATTCTCAAAAATATTAATGATTCTTGATGATAATTTAGGTATGAAAGGGATTGAATGATGAAAATAGCTATTTATGTAACTTAATCATCTTTAGTTTTTTTTTTTATTTATTTATTTACAAATTCAGCACACTACAGAATAAAATATTCTAAATGGTACAAAGATAAAAACAAAAACAAATATTCACAACCAACAAAGGACATAACGAAGTGGCACAGTCAGCCACTCCCTACAGAAAAGGCAAATTACAGATACAGATACCTACCAAACTAAAAGAGAAAAGATCACAATCGTGAAAATACCTATTATAATTATAAACTAGACGATCTACAAAAGCATTAAGGTCATAGTTAGTTCTGTGATAACGCTCGTAAAATAACTGCACTTGTCTTGTAAGTACCTCTTATTGGAATTAAAAATATGATCAAGTTTAGAAGTTGAATGCAGGCAATTACTCCATTGAGAAGTTAGTAGAGAAACAACAAATTAGCATTTCTTCAACGAAACTCAAGGCTTTTAACACCACAAAGCAAAAGTCTAGTGTCCCTCCTAGATCATTAGAATAAAATAGAATAGAATAGAAAAATACTTTATTGTCAAGAATACAGGTCTGTAGACAAAGCAGACTATAACATATTATTGACTAAAACTAGTTGTATGTATAAACGAATTTCAAAAACAGTAGGTACATTTAACACATTAAAATTTTAAATACTTAACATTACGCGGACAAAATTGATTAAATCATTAACAAAAACCAAACAAGACATATTGGGCTCTTGCTTGCAGCACATTAGTATGAAAACAAAAACCAACTTACAGGCAGTAAATAAAAACAAATAATTACCTATTATTTATTGAAAATTTGTCAACAAGAAATACTTTGATTTTAAAATTCGTCAAGAGTGTAAATTGATTTTTGTAATAAGGCCTTCTTGAGCTTTCTTCTTAAATTAATGACAGCCGAGGCAGCACATCTAATATCCGCAGGTTAGTGATTGAAAATCTTTTTTCCCTCATATATTATAGATTTTTTTGTAAGGGAGCTTTTAGGAATAGGTAAGGCAACATGGTTTTGTTGGCGAGTTACTTGTGCAGTTCTATCACCTTCGTTGTTACTATAGTTTTTATACACTAAACTTGCTGTTTCAAGTATGAGAATTGATGTTAAAGTAAGAATTTTCAAGTTCTTAAAATCCTAATAATAATAGATGATACATTTTCAATTATTGAATCATTAATCTTAAGGGTATTATTCAATGGGTTCCGACGTTTGTGAAAACAGATAGATTTACATTTAGAGATATTAATTGACAGGAAGTTTGATTCGCACCATACAACAATATAGTCTGTCAAGGTCAGACTGCAAGACATTGAGACCAGGGCCAACTGAGCTAAAGAGTTTGAGGTCGTCGGTGTAAAAGAGACATTGGGATGTTTTAAACCATAATAGGACATCATTTATAAATAATGAAAAGAGCACAAGAAGGAAGTTGTTACATTACAAAAAAGTTATTTGATTAAGTATCAAACTAAAAGGAAAGTGCTACACAATATCATCCAAGATTTGAAAGGCAATATTAGAGTCTTTTGCAGGGTCAGACCATCACTTCGTTCAGAGTTAAAACAAATTCAGTGTAACATAGAGTATATTAATGAAAACGGTATTGAAAACAGTAAAAGCCGCGAAAACTATGATCAATTCACTGGCAAATTAAAAGAGTTAAAATCTGAGTTTACCTATGACAAAGTGTTTGCCTCCCAGAGTTCCCAAGTAGACTTGTTTGAGGATCTTGAACAATTGGTACAGTGTGCTCTTGACGGATACAATGTGTGCGTTTCTGCCTATGGCCGGACTGGGTCAGGTAAAACTTATACTATGCAAGGCGGTGCTGGAATCCAAACAGGAATGGTTCCTAATACTTTTGAACTAATTTTTAAAAACATTGCTGAGCTTCAAAGACGTAAATGGTCTTATACAGTAAAAGCAAGGTTTTTGGAGATTTACAATGAAAATATAACAGATTTGCTCATCACAGATCAGGGGCAGAAACACGAAATTTGTTTCAATGAAGGAAAAGTGACTAATTGGTCAATACAATACAGACAATTAAATTGGCAGTAGAATTAGAAGATTATATGATATTGGCGCACGGGAACAGGACAACAGCAATTACTGATTTTAATAAGCATAGTAGTCGGTCACACGCTGTCATAAAAATTCATTTAGGAGGAACTTTGGAAAATCTGGTATACAAAGGCAGTTTGAATTCAGTTGATCCGGCTGGTTCAGAAAACGCTAAGCAATCAGTAGCAGGCGAGAAACTAACAGAAACCAAAAACATCAAAAAATGCTTGGCCACTCTTAATGATGTCACAAATTGTTATAAATTCTGGTAAGGCTTCATGGATATTAAATTGGATATCACATCCGTTTAATATCCATGAAGCCTTGCCAGAATTCATAACAATTTGTGCATAAAAGACTTTTATCTAACAAGGATAAAATCAAGATTTAAACAAATAATACATGTTGAACTTTTTCAAATAGATATACAAGAAAACTTGATGGCTATTAAGGTACAAATTTAATTCTCAACTACATTAATTTATTTATTAATACTGTAATGATCCGAAAAAATAGTCCCGATAATTACAATGTCTTTACTGTAAAAATTAAATGTAATCAAATGGTCAAAAACTGAATTTCCTGTATTTCAAATCAGTATCAATATATTGAAAATCAAACAAATTAACGTTGACCCCAAATACGTGGAAGGCCGCAAGGCCCAACCAACAAGCAAGGGTAATTATTTTGTAAGATTGAAATTTGTTTTGTGTCGTTCTAGCATCAACAATTTTGAAGGGAAATATTAAATGGAAATTGTATTAATGAAGAAAATTAGGAAAAATTTTTGATGCCAGGATAAAATCTAGTTTTTAATAAAGATTCATAATTGATCTTTAATAATTATTATTGTAAATGAAGTTGCGAAATTACACAGGAAAAGTCAAATTTCGTATTACTTTTGTTGTTTTAGTAAAATTAAAAATATAACAGATATTTTTAAGAAATATGAAATTAGGGATATGAAATTAGGGATAGGAAAAGCTCGCTCATAATTAGGTTGAACGAACTGATAAATACTCGGATAATATTATCGTAAAATTGAGAAAAGTAACCCATAAATCACAGAGGGTTCACCGACCGAACCACATTTTACGAGGCAGGCACCTAATTTTATGCTGAAATTCTATATTTTTCAAAATTTCAAAAATAAAATTTTTAAAAAAAATTTCAAAAATAATTTATTTGCCATTCAGAGTCAATTACATCGCTGGAAAAAAAACATTTAAATATTATGCAAATATAATAAATAATATTGACACTCGGGCAAAATGGACCATCCCGCGATTTTTCAGTAACCGATGCTCTCGGGTTTCTAACAAAAGAAGCCCGAGAGTGGGACAGACCTATTAACCTAATATAACCTAAAATAATTCCGGTTTGAACAAAGGGTATTAGAAAAGAAAAACTAAGGTAAAGTAAATAAGATCAAATAAAATAAAATAAAACGAAAATAATAAAACTAATGTATTACATAAGCGATGTGTCGGAGGGTGGGATTTCCACGAGTGCGTGCTGAGAAGTTTTTCCTGATTATGGAAGGGGTAGTTGGGGGAGAGTGACGACGACGACGACGGAGGGCGAGAGACGAATGGTTGACGGTCCAGACCGCATTTAGTAGTATTAATTATTATTTATATCTAGTATTTTAAGTCAAAAGCGAATGCGCGCACCCAATTGTGTAATCTGTATGTGCCCAGACATGCAAGCGCAGAGAGAAGAGAAAAAAAAAAAGTGATTAAAAAATAATAAAACATGTACACATAGGCTAAATTCCTACAGTTGGCCCTGCAGAAGCATTGATTTTACATGCCTTTTGAAACTATAGAATGTAAGAGATTTTATATTATTTGGTAGATTATTCCAGATTTTGGATGCTGTATATGTAAATGATTTTTGAAAGTTTGTTGTATGGTGAACAGGAATTCTATATAGATTATCGTTTCTAGTTTCGTAGGTGTGTTGTAGTGGTATCAGACAACTGAGCAGATACTCCGGTTTCCCAGTTTTAATTATCTTGAAAATAAAGCAAGACATGTGACATTCTCTTCTGTTCTTCATGTTTAAAATTTTGTTGTCGTTCAGATATGGGGTTATGTGATGTCGGTAGGGAATATTAAAAGAAAATCTCATGCATGTGTTTTGTAGTTTTTGGATTTTCCCTTTGTATAAACCTGTTATCGAGTCGGAGTATACAACATCTCCGTAGTCAAATAATGACAAAATTAGAGTATCACAAAGAAAATATTTAATTTTTGATGGTAAACAATTTTTTAAGTAATATATATTTTTTAAGCGGTAGTAGGCCGTTTTTAGTTTTTGATTGATGTGTGACTCAAATCTTGTTGCTTCGTCAATGATTATGCCCAGATTTTTTGCTTCCGATTTAAAGGGGATGGTTTCATTATTTAATGTAACTAACATATTTTTCTGCAGGCGCTCCCTTACTTGCCCGTTCTGGTCTACTAAAATTGACTGGGATTTTGTTGCATTTATTTTAAGGTTGTGGTTATCTGCATAGGTAAATATTCTATCGAAATCTAAATTTATTTTAGTGTTACAATCTGCCAGATTTTCATCTCTATGATTAATTGGTATATAAAGTTGTGAATCATCTGCATATTGTTGTAGTGAACTATGAACAAGGCAACTGTGCATGTCCGCCACATAAATGGAAAATAAAAGGGGCGAGAGAATTGATCCTTGTGGGACACCTTTAGTTATTGGTTCAAATTCTGACCTCTTTACCTCAGATTCAGTGGCAATCGACACAGAGGAAGCTCTATTATGTAAGAAATTTGAAAAGAAATCGATTACAGACTGAGAAAAATTGTAGTAGTGAAGCTTTGCCACCATCATTTTATGATCTAAAGTGTCAAATGCTTTACTGAAATCCAGCATTGTGAGGCATGTCGATGATTTTACTTCCTCGTTGTGTCTGATGTCGTTGAGAACTTTTACTAAACATGATGATGTACTAAAGTGTCTTCTAAAGCCTGACTGACAATTGGGAATGATTTTAAACTTTTCTGAGAAGCTGCTAATTTGGTCAAAAATAAATTTTTCAATGACTTTTGACATGGTGGGTAATATACTGATGGGTCTAAGATCGTTGAGACTAAGTGGCTCTGCAGTTTTCGGGATAGGCTTGATGACGCTTTTTTTCCAGATGTCTGGGAACACACTCTCTAACAGGCATGTGTTGATGATGTTTGTCAGGGGGCCTATGATGTATGTTAGACATATTTCCAGGTCCTTTTTAGAAATTCCATCTACCCCAATAGCATTGGTTTTTATTTGGTTTAGAAGTTTTATAACTGTTTCTGTGTCTATGAGAGTAAAATTAAAGTTTTCAGCTACATTTTGATTTTTATTGGAAAGATAAAAGTTTACTCTGTCTTCAGATGTCGTAACCCCAGTATGAGTGTTTGATAAAAAATGTTTGTTAATTTCGACCGGGTTATCAAACTGATGAGGTAGCTCCTGAATAGCGTTTTTGCTTGTTAATTTAAGCTTCTTAGCTGTTTGCCAGAATTCTTTTCCCTTCTTTGAAGAAAGTTGGTCGAAGAAAGCGGCCTTCTCCCGTAGTATCGCATGCTTAGTATAATTTCTCAGCTCTCGATAGTATTGCAGTTTTGGTTCAGTTTTATTTTTATTATAGGCTCGTCTAGCTTTGTCACGAAGTTTCATTAACAGCCGGATATTTTGAGTGATCCAAGGGGTATATAGCCCTTCTTTAACTTGTTTAGCTTGTAATGGAGCATGTCTTTTCCTCAATGCCTGGTATTCTGTATATTTGATCCCACTGTATATTTAGTGCATCTTGGTTGAAAATGTTCAAATTAATATTATTATAATTTCTAAAATATACCAATCTTGGCCTTACTTGAAGTTTCGGCAGGTTAATACTGATGTAGATTAAGTTATGATCAGTTATTTGATCAGAGATTTCGATTGAGCTACTATCTATGACTTCTAGGTTTGAGCTTGCAATCATGAGGTCTATCAGGGTTGCAGAATGACTGTCAATTCTAGTGGGTCTATCAATCAGTTGATTGAGACTAAAATTGTTTAAAATGTTTTTAAAATTCACAGTACATGCTGAATTTTCCAGAAGGTTTATATTTAGGTCTCCGGTAATAATAATATTTTCGTACAAAGGGGTTGTTAGTGTGAGCAAGTCTTCTAGTTTTTGGTTAAATTGTGGAGCATTCCTTGACGGAGCGCGGTATATAGATATTAAGAAGTATTTTCTTGAGCAAAATACAAACTCAATACACATAAATTCGAACAAGTTCTCCGAGTCAAATTCAAGAGATATTTTTTTGAACGCTAGTCCTTTTTTTACGTACATTGCAATTCCACCACCCCTCTCCTGCCTATCCCTCCTGATAAAGTTATATCCTGGAATTTGAAAAGCATGCGAGGGTTGATCTTGAGAGAGCCATGTCTCCGATAATGCTAATATCTCAAATCTATAATGTTCAACGTAAGAAGCAAATTCATGAAAACCGGTATTCATAGATCTGATATTTAAGTGCCCAACGGAGAAATTTTTAGGTTCTTCGCATTCGTCCCTGTCCCGTCTATTCGCCATTCGTAACTTTAAGAAAAAGAACACCCCTCAACCCACTCGTCCCAAAAATTCGCCCCCCCCCCCCCCCAATGGCAATCAAAACCGCCCTCCCTTTTAAAAATATTGTATTTACGATATTTATATTTATGTAGCACACACTCGTGTTGTTCCCTTTTCCCTTTACTATCATGTCTAAGCGCAAATAATCTACAACAAACAAAACCAAAAATAAAAAACAAAGGAGAAAAGATATTCTCATAAAAAGAGTGGAGAAAAAAAAAATATTTATTTATATTTTATTTAATTTAATTTATAGTACATTGAATAAGAATTGACCGAAATTATCTTATCAAGAGTATTTTTCTCTTTCTGTAGAGTCAAATTCTAAGGGGCAAAAATGTATTCTAATTGTACCTTCAGGAACTGTTCATTTTAAAAAGCATTTCCATATTTTATTTTGATTATGCATTCGTGGAATTGCCGTACTAAATACCATTCGAGCTCAGATTTTGAGCAGGATATTTTTTTGCTTGCCCTCTCATACTTCTTTCAGGCAATTTATCTCGATCTGTTCCACACACAGCTCTCGTTAAATTTCCTGAAAGTAAGAATTCGAGACCAAGCCAAAAAATATCCGGCTAAATCTGAGCTCTTATGGTATTATCGTAGGTAATACCATAAGAGCTCAGATTTAGATCTGAGTTCGAATGGTATTTAGTACGGCAATTCCACGAATGTAAAATCAAAACAAAATATTTATTTATCTCAGATAACAAAACACTTTTAATAAGCTAAAATTGGGGCTAAATTGATCGAATTTTTGAATTTGTGTGACAATTATTTGACATATGATTCAAAAACCAATTTAATATGCAATTTTTACTATGGTAACGATTGCATCAACAGAAAATTTATCCGATTTTTTTATCCAGTTATATTTTCTCTTCCTTCCTATTTATCCGCTAGCAAACTACAATTTTTGACAGTTTAAATGGGATTATTTATACATGAGTGGAATTGCCTACGATAATTACAATGTCTTTACTGTAAAAATTGAATGTAATCAAATGGTCAAAAACTGAATTTCCTGTATTTCAAATCACTATCAATAAATTGAAAATGAAACAAATTAACGTTGATCCCAAATACGTTCAAAATTATATTAGGTATCTCGTCACCAAGCCTGTGTCATCATCTAAAATTCCTAAAAAAATATTAAAAGCGAGGGCATAGTAATTAAATCGATGATTTATGGCACACGTGTGTCGGCTTTCTTTGCGTTGTCCTCACATTCTTGAACCAAAGATGTGTTGACCCCTATAAATAAGGATATTGCCAAATAATTATTCGATTTTGAACAAATTAAAATGATAAAAATTTCAAATAGATTGCATCATTATTTTTTGATAATATCTAGGTCGGCCAATGGAATTGACTTATTGATGGTCAAACCACCGCCTATTGACGATTTTGGTGGATAATTAATAATACTTTGGGGTATTGAAATCAGTAAGAGCCGCGAAAGCTATGATCAATTCACTTGTTAAAAGAGTTAAAATCTGAGTTTACCTATGACAAAGTGTTTGCCTCCCAGAGTTCCCAAGTAGAGTTGTTTGAGGATCTTGCACAATTGGTACAGTGTGCTCTTGACGGATACAATGTCTGCGATTCTGCCTATGGCCAGACTGGGTCAGGTAAAACTTATACTATGCAAGGCGGTGCTGGAATCCAAACAGGAATGATTTCTAGGATTACTAATTTTTTAAAACATTGCTGAGCTTCAAAGACGTGGATGCGAAAGCAAGCTTTTTGGAGATTTACAATGAAAATATAAGAGATTTGCTCACCACAGATCAGAGGCAAAAACACGAAATTTGTTTCAATGAAGGAAAAGAGATATCAGTGACAAATTGGTCAATACAATATAGACAATTATTTCGGCAGCAGAATTAGAACATTACATGATATTGGCGCACGGGAACAGGGCAACAGCAGCTACTGATTTCAATGAGCATAGTAGTCGGTCACACGCTGTCACAAAAATTCATTTAGAAGGATCTTTGGAAGATCTGGTGTACAAAGTGACAGGCGAGAGACTAACAGAAACCAAAAACATCAATAAAAGCTTGGCCACTCTTAATGATGTCATTCAACATTTACATAACAAATCAAGTCAATATCCCTTATAGGAAATCAAAATTGACAAATTTGCTGCAATCCAGCTTAGGGGGAAATTCCAAAACTTTAATGATAGTGAATATTTTCCCAATTGAAAATTGCTTTATGCTCTCGATCTGTTCCGTTAACGGAACAGCTTTCGTTAAATTTCCTGAAAGTAAGAATTCGAGACCAAGCCAAAAAATATCCGGCTAAATCTGAGCTCTTATGGTATTACCTACGATAATTACAGTGTCTTTACTGTAAAAATTGAATGTAATCAAATGGTCAAAAACTGAATTTCCTGTATTTCAAATCACTATCAATAAATTGAAAATGAAACAAATTAACGTTGATCCCAAATACGTTCAAAATTATATTAGGTATTTCGTCACCAAGCCTGTGTCATCATCTAAAATTCCTAAAAAAATATTAAAAGCGAGGGCATAGTAATTAAATCGATGATTTATGGCACACGTGTGTCGGCTTTCTTTGTGTTGTCCTCACATTCTTGAACCAAAGATGTGTTGACCCCTATAAATCAGGATATTGCCAAATAATTATTCGATTTTGAACAAATTAAAATGATAAAAATTTCAAATAGATTGCATCATTATTTTTTGATAATATCTAGGTCGGCCAATGGAATTGACTCATTGATGGTCAAACCACCGCCTATTGACGATTTTGGTAGATAATTAATAATACTTTGGGGGGGAATCGAGAAATATAAAACAGGCGGTTTTAGAAGTGGACGTGAGTTGTCAGTTGAGTTGTTAGTTCAGTCCAGTTTGAGTTAAAGTCTACAGTACCTACCTAATGTGTCAGTCCGAGTAAAATTCGCGAAAGTTTCTTCTATTGCCTCGGAAATAGTAACGGAAAATTGTAAAAGAAAGAATAGTTAAATTCGTTCAATATTATGTGCGTGCTCTGGAGATTTTAATTAAATTAAGTAATTTTACGTGTGAAAAGTTAAATGTAAGTACTTTGGTGATTTTTTTTTTCTGACTTATAACAATAATTCTGAATGATGAGAAGTGAATTGACAATGACTTTTAATGCCTAAAAACTTGAGTGATTTTGACTAGTAAAACTTTTTGACTTTATAAATGATGAATGACTATGAAGTGAATTAACTTTGGAACTTTATTGCATAGATATTCATAACTCCAGTTTTTTTGACTATGGAACATTATTGCATAAATTTAATTGCCTTCGAGTATAATGACATTTTAATTAATTTTGCAAAGGGGAATTTATAATGCACTTAACCAGTATCGATTTTGAGTAGGAATTATCAAAGAATTTTAAATTGGATTGTCCAAATTGAAGTTTAAGGGCTATAGTAACGAATCTAATAAGAAATAAATAATTATGTTTGTTGGCTAGGAATTCGAAAATAGTAATTGTTCTGATTTAAATAAACCATTGTATGTAAATGGGAAGTTTCGTTGTTCATGAAGAAACATTGATAATCTTGATTGCTGAAATTTTGAATTAGGGTTTTTATTTTCCATGTAGAAATTATTGTAAGGTTTTTTATGAATAAAGTTAGTAATACCTATATTAATAAACAAATAATTAGGTATTTTGATTTTGCATAAGCAGTCAGTAACGGACTTAGGAATTTTTAAGAATTTATAGATATAGGTGAAAGGTAGTTTGATAGGAATGTGAATCGGAAGTGTTGTAATGGATAAACTTATAAGTTATTAAGAATAGTAGAAGTAGGGCGTTTCTTCTTTTATGAATATTTCCTGGTCCGTAATAATGATATTTGAACGGATGTGAAATAATTTGAATTGGGAAAATTAGAAGTGGCTGTCAGAATTGAAAGATATCTTGCCTATTTAAATTTTTGGTTTTATGTATAATAAAATATAATTTAGTAAACCTCAATAGTTTGTTTCTCTCTTTTGCGAATAGACCCTCCACAATTTTATAGGTAGCAGCTTCAAGGAAATAAACACCATCAATATACCGCTCGTCATTTACCATCTAACTAATTAAATAGAGTACTTGGGGCGTTTTGCTACAATACCTAGCAAAAAATATTCTTTATTATTAAAATTATTTGTTAATATAGAGCACTCTGTTACCATACATAAATAATTTCAATCATGTCACTTTTGTATAAGTATGTATTTAACATTTAATTGACAAGCTTGTTGAAATTAAAAATTTATCTTTGTTTCACTGTTTCATAGTGCGCACATTCATCTTGTTTCTTTTACTACCAGTCTTGACTTGTTTCACTTTAGCAGCAAAACGCAAAGAGCTTACACTCTCCATAAAGCAATTTTCAATTGGGAAAATATTCACTATCATTAAAGTTTTGGAATTTCCCCCTAAGCTGGATTGCAGCAAATTTGTCAATTTTGATTTCCTATAAGGGATATTGTCTTGATTTGTTATGTAAATGTTGAATGACATCATTAAGAGTGGCCAAGCTTTTATTGATGTTTTTGGTTTCTGTTAGTCTCTCGCCTGTTACTTTGTACACCAGATCTTCCAAAGATCCTTCTAAATGAATTTTTGTGACAGCGTGTGACCGACTACTATGCTCATTGAAATCAGTAGCTGCTGTTGCCCTGTTCCCGTGCGCCAATATCATGTAATGTTCTAATTCTGCTGCCGAAATAATTGTCTATATTGTATTGACCAATTTGTCACTGTTATCTCTTTTCCTTCATTGAAACAAATTTCGTGTTTTTGCCTCTGATCTGTGGTGAGCAAATCTCTTATATTTTCATTGTAAATCTCCAAAAAGCTTGCTTTCGCATCCACGTCTTTGAAGCTCAGCAATGTTTAAAAAAATTAGTAATCCTAGGAATCATTCCTGTTTGGATTTCAGCACCGCCTTGCATAGTATAAGTTTTACCTGACCCAGTCTGGCCATAGGCAGAATCGCAGACATTGTATCCGTCAAGAGCACACTGTACCAATTGTGCAAGATCCTCAAACAACTCTACTTGGGAACTCCGGGAGGCAAACACTTTGTCATAGGTAAACTCAGATTTTAACTCTTTTAACAAGTGAATTGATCATAGCTTTCGCGGCTCTTACTGATTTCAATACCGTTTTCGTTAATAAACTCTATGCTACAGTGAATTTTTTTTAGCTCTGAAGGAAGTGGTGGTCTGACCCTGCAAAAAACTCTAATATTGCCTTTGAAATCTTGGATGATATTGTAGCACTTTCCTTTCAGTTTGATATTTAATCAAATCACTTTTTTATAATGTGATAACTTCCTTTAATTCTATGTTGTCTATCTGATAAATTCACTGAGATTGGTGTCTCTGGTAATTACATTGAACTGATTAAATCCTACTTATCTCAGTGTCGTCAGCTTGTTACTGTTTCGTGGTTCTGTATCTTGTGACGTACTTGTGACCTCTGGCGTCTCCCAGGGTTCGCATATCGGTCCTGTGCTCTTCAAGCGTTATCACAGAACTAACTATGATCTTAATGCTTTTGTACTTCGTCTAGTTTATAGTTATAATAGGTATTTCCACGATTGTGATGTTTTTTCTGTTAGTTTAGTATCGTTAGGAAAATGCGATGTAGAGAGATTTGTAGTTTGGCTTTCTTGTGGGAGTGGCTGTGCCACTTCGTTAAGTCTTTTGTTGGTTGTAAATCTTTGTTTTTGTTTTTATCTTTGTACCATTTAGAATATTTTATTTTGTAGTGTATTGAATTTGTAAAAAAAAAATATATTTAGAAGGAACTTTGGAAGATCTGGTGTACAAAGGCAGTTCGAATTTAGTTTATCTGGCTGGTTCAGAAAACGCTAAGCAATCAATAGCAGGCGAGAGACAAGTATATATTTAACATTTAAATGACAAGCTTGTTGAAATTTAAAATTATTTTTTATTTCACTGTTTCATAGTGCCCACGTTCATCTTGTTTCCAGATGACTTGTGTCACTTTAGCAGCAAAACAAAGAGACCTTACACTCCTCATAAAGCAATTTTCAATTGAGAAAATATTCACTATCATTGAAGTTTTGGAATTTCCTCCCAAGCTAGATTGAAGCAAATATGTCAATTTTGAATTCCTATAAGGGATATGTCTTGATTTATTATGTAAATGTTGAATGACATCACCAAGAGTGGCCAAGCTTTTATTGATGTTTTTGGTTTCTGTTAATACATAAGTGACATGATTGAAATTATTTATGTTTTAGTTCAATATGTATTTTTTGTTTAAATCTTTTTATTCTTGTTAGAAAAAAGTTTTTTATGCACAAATTGTTATAAATTCTGGTAAGGCTTCATGGATATAAAATGGTTTTAATTTCACTATCCCATTCATTGGCTTAATTTCATCACAAGCTATTAACCATTAAACAAACAATTTTATGTTTTGCTTTTATTTTAATGTTGTATTTTAGTTTAAAGATTTTTCTTAACTTTGATATGAATTTTACATATATAGAGGCTAGTTATTTTGAAATAAACAGAATTAACTTAACTAGACTAGATATTTGAGGCCGTTTTACCATTGTCGCAGCAGGATGTATTTATTGCAAGTGCAGGATGGGATAGCAACAGGATCTGGGAAACGGTTGGAGTTACAATGTTGGTTAGATTTGGAAAAAGTTGCTATCCCATCCTTATCTTGGACACACTGTATAAGTGGAACATTCGATAATCAAACAGAGAGAAAAAAGCGCTGGAGGATGATTTCCTTGTAACTCTACTGATTTTGACTGGTTATTGGATCAAATTGGTCTTAAAATTGCAAAAAAGTATACATCATTTATAAGCAATACTATCAACGGAAAGGTTATTGGTTACTTTGTGATATGTCGATACAGGGTACTTATATATACACCGAATGCTAATACAGATCAAACGAATTCTTCCCAAATTTCCTTTGATGTACCGAACAAATGCGTTCCATCTTGTTTGTCATGACGTCCACATTACCGAACAAATTTATTTGGCCGCATTCGTTCGGCTGTATAAATACGCGCCTTTAATTCTTTCATGTTCTGTGTTTTTAGAGCTGAAGCTTTTAAAGAATGAACGCAACATTAAAATTATTTAAAAATTTGATAAAACTGTTTGTAAAAATTCTAATTCAACCTCAGTTTACAGTTATGTTTTATATAACTATAGCATTGCTAAGTTTCATACTGTAGCCTTGAAAAAGGAAATAAAAATTTTCAAAAAAGAGTAGCCTAATTTGCCTAATACATGACTGCAACCCCACTAATTTAAATTTTTCAATTCTTATTTTTATTCCCATATTTAAGTTTGTTTTTAAACTTTTTGGGATTTATACCAAATGCGGTCAATCTTGAATCAGATATAGCAATTTTTGCATCTTTCTTCATCCTTTTTCCTCCAGGATTTTTGGTATTATTATCTGCATCTACGCGTTTTCTCTTCTTACCATTTTTCTTATTTATTGTATTTGAAGAATTTGTTTCAGCAGCCTCAACCTTAACTTTTTCTTGTGAATTTTTAGACTGGTTATTATCAACATTTGCTTTCTTCTTCTTCTTCTTCTTATTTTTCTTTTTACGTTTTTGATTTGTAGTTTCTGATGATCCTCCATTTGTTTTATGTTCGATATCATCCATAGCTTCTTCCTTCTTAACTTTTTCCGGAATAATTTTGCTTTTACTACACATAGGAGGGCTTTCAATTTTATCTTCAACTTGTTGTATAGCCGTTTCCTCTTTCATTTCTGCTGCAACATTTTTCTTTTTAGAATTTTTTTTACCAATTAAAGGCTTTTGTTCAGCTTCATCTTTCATTTCTTTTGCAACAGATGCTTCATTACTTGTTGAAGGTTGATTGTTTTCCGCATCTACAGGTTCCTCCAAAAACAAACTAGGCAAAAGCTTCTTTTTCAAACCAACATTATTGGCCTTTTTTGCATAAGCAATTTGATCATATTTTTCAATATTATCTGGCCTTCGTTGTATGGCTTTTTTTATTGAACACCATCTATTCAGTTCCTTATCTTTGGCCATTAAGATCTATGACAGACAATTATTTGTGAAATAAATTTAATTAGAAAATTTGTGACTTACTTCTTCGGTAGTTAAACCAAAATCATTAGGCAATACCTCCCTATACTTGAATCTACATGGTATGTCTCCTATAATGTCTTCACAATCAAGCTTATAATACTCGTCAAAGTATTTTTCATAGGTTTTATCGTTTGGATCGTATTTGGGTTTAGGACGACTCAGAGCTTCCGCAACTTTTGACTTTCTTCTACGTTTTTTACGGCCTTTGCTGTTTTCAATTAGTTCTTCTTTTAGAGAAGTTGTTGGATCATAATCTGCATCCATCTAAAAAACAATATATTCAATTACTCTGGTCATTGGTTCAATAATTGGTATTTCATTATTTACATTGAAATTGCCATCTTCACAATGCATTTCATGACCTTGTTCTTCATTAGTATCTTCTCCATTCCAGCGATCCCAATTTTCTGAAAGAAAAATGTTAAAAATTAATGGTTTGAAATATTTAGGTATTGTTGCCTTATTTGGATTTTGATTTTTTTTCAATATAGGTTTTTATAAATCTTTTTTACGCACACCACCCCAGAATATTGAAACATCCAATGAGCAGCAGAATGAGGCAAACAATGATGAAAATGAGGTAGTGGAAGAAGAACTTTCTAGTCAACTGCAGTCAACACTCAAATATATATGTAGTTCTGTGTGCGAATGTTCTCTCATGTTTTCTGTAATTTTGACCGTTTGAGTTTCGTATTTCGCTAAATTATTTTTGTGTCTTTCCCAAAACTAGCAGTGAAATAGTGGAAAATAAACCGTTTAATTCTACAATCTTGAATACAAATCATGAAATTAAAAAAAAAAGGTTCTTAACTGCTTTGAATGCAACAAATCTTGTGTATTTAAATCCAGGCCAAACGATGACGAAATATTCGGAGCATGTTGTGATTCACGCGGAATATCATTATGCAAAAAGTGCGCAAAAATCACTACAACGGAGGCTCATGCCGTAGCTCTCAGTCAAAGAACTCTTATATTTTTTTGTACCAATTGCAAAAAGACTTTAAAAGATCTACCAAATTTCAAAGTACTTGTGAAGGCATATGAAAATCTTAGGGTAGAATCTGAGAAGAAAGATACTAAGAATGAAATACTAGAACGAGACCTAGAAAATCTCAGGCAAGAGATGATGACTGAGATTACGTGTTTGAAGACTTGCAATAAAGACAAAGACAATTTCATTCAGCTACTTCGGAAGAGGTCTGTGGATTTTGAGATGTCAGCTGTTGCCGCCGATAAGCCAGGGCCGTAACCAGGGGGGGGGGCATTGGGGGGCAATGCACTATCTTTCAAATGATGATGCCCTACCTTTAAAACACAACATGCGTTAAGATTTCTCTAGGAAATTTGAAAGAGTAGACAATGAAATGAATTGAAATAAATTGAAATTGAATTGCCTTAAACTGGCTATTGTAATACCCCTGCATAAGGGAGATGATATTGAGGATTCTTCTAATTTTCGGCCAATTTATATTTTATCAATATTCTCTAAGGTGATTGAAAAGCTCGTTAAAAAGAGAATCGCATCATTTATAGTTATTATATATTATAATCCTCCAATTAAGAGAAGAAATCAAAAACTTACATGCGAGGCTAGAAGAGGAACGTACACTGAAAAACAAAGAAAAAAAGAAGAGGTCAGAACTAGAGAAAATCAATCAAGATTTAAAACAACAAATAAAACAAAACCTGGAAGATGCAGCGAAAAAAGATGATATCTCTAGACTCGACACCGAAGTACTCCAACTGAAACAGCAGCTGGATGACATCAAAGAAACAACTAAGCAATCTCTACAACTGTTAGAATTTAAGATTGATCAGAAAGCAAACAAAAACAACATAAACTATAGAACTGAACCTGAATCACCTCGACCACAGCACCCAGCAACCTCAACCACCAAAAAACTACACCAAAAGGATGTCCCCTTCAGACATTCTCGAGACTATCAAGGAGATAATGGGATTGTTATTTCTCCAAGGGGAAACCGCCATTCCTTTAATACAACAAACCTGGCCGCATTTCCTGATCCTCCAAAACCACAAATTGAACAGGATAAAGAAGACAAACAAAACTTCTCATACCAGAGGCACCAAAGGCGTACCTACAGAAAACGGCTGGGACAAGCAGAAGTTACACCAGAAAATGGGAAAAATGGATTCTCGGGATGCGATCGAAGAGCTTGGTTCTATATAAATCGCATAAAGAGGCATACCACCGAAGAAATGGTAAACACTTATATAAAATCTAAACCAGGCTTCACCAATGAAAACATCGCAGTAAAAGAACTACCTAGCGATCCAAAAAAGCAAAAATGCTTTGTTGTTGTAGCCCCTCTTGCAAAAAAAGATGAACTCTACGACACCAACTTCTGGCCAAACTCTGTAGGAATTGAAAGGTTCAATTTTACCAAACACACAGAATTTCTAAAGGAATCAGGTGATTTTTTCTTGTAAAATCACAAACCCGAGACCAAGAAGCATATAAAAAACAAAAACAAAACCAAAACCCATACCCACAAACACAAATCTTCTCTATATTTTATGCAAATGTTTGCTCTATCAGAAACAAAATTGGAGAAATAGAAGCCACCATAAAATCAAGAACAAAATATGATGTCCTGTGTTTCACGGAGCACTGCATGATGCAGGACGAGCTAGAACATCTCAAAATCCTGGATTACAAAATGGGATCATCCTTATGCCGGAAGAACAGCAAACATGGTGGATCAACAATCATGTATAACCCCCTATGGGAAACGAAGACACATGATGAAGTCACAAGCCTGTCAGTAGCAGAACATGTCGAAGTAAGTGCCACAGAGATAAAAAGACTGAACCTATTATTAATAACTATTTACCGTCCACCCAATGGAGACTTTAATATATTTTTGAATGTTACAGATAGTATTTTGGATGTGTGTCTAAGTCTAAAGAAATATGTTGTGTTGAATGGCGATTTTAACATACATTTTGAGAGGGACTATAACCTTAAACATAAATTCTTAGATCTCACTGAATCATATGATTATAGGGAAAAAGTCTTTGTAAATATACGTAAAAACCATCGTCTTGATAATGTCTTTGTAAATCTTGAAATTGTGTGTGAATGTAAAGTAAATGTTTTTAATCCAAATCTGTCTGATCATGATAGGGCAATCGAATGTGAAATAAATGTCATCCCTATTTTAAAAAATGAAAACCTAAAAATAGACCAATCTCTTTACCCTCCCATAACAAAAATAGGAATTGCAAAGGAAACTGACAATGCTGAAATGAGTACCACCAAATTTTTTCAGAGATTTCTATCATATCGAGACATTGCACTTCCAGTGACTAGACGACCAAAGAAAAGCACCCAGGAACCCGGAGCTGAGTGGTTTGGAGAGGAACTACAGATGCTGCGACATGAGCTAAACACATTAAATGAAATGTGCTCAGAAACTGACTGTCCTGTGCTGCGGACAGAGAGAAACACACTGAGGAACAGGTACCGAAATGAAATAGAAAACTCAAAAAAACAAGCAAATTCAAATTATATCCGTAATTCTGATAACATTGCAAAAGCATCATGGAAATCTAATAAAAAAATATATGCCAAACAGCACTTCTAAAGCAAATGCAAATATAGACCCAAATGAATGTAATGATTATTTTGCTGACATAGCTGAAAACCTCATTCATAATCTACCAGCAGCCGACACATCGCCAGTTCTGTATATGCAGAGCAGTAACCTAGGAGACCCAAACCTGCACTTTTCTTTCCACAGTGTAGTCCCACTCGAAGTTCTTCAAGCTCTTAATAATTTTAAAAAAAAAGCACAGCAAGGACTTCTATGACCTTAGTGTAGTGCTAATACAGGCACTTGGTGGGATTCTCTGTTATCCGCTTGCAAAAATTTTCAACAAATGTATCCAAGAAGGAGCTTACCCTGAAGAGCTCAAAATTAGTAAAACTGTGCCAATCTTCAAAAGTGGAGATAAAACATCACCATCAAATTACAGACCAATTTCTTTGATCCCCGTCTTCTCCAAGATCCTTGAGGTTCTCTTGAAGGACCAACTCTACATGTACTTTGAGGGAAACCACTTATTCACAGAAGAGCAGTTTGGGTTTAGAAGGGGCAGAACCACCACTGGGGCAATACTAAAGCTCTGCGATTTCATAGTTGAGGGCTTTGAGGAGGGGCAGATTGTGTCCACCACCTTCTGTGACCTCTCCAAGGCCTTCGACTGTGTATCACATGATATCCCTATAGAAAAATTAAAATACTACAGGCTTTCAGCGTGAATTTGATATTTGGGTACCTCTCGGGACGAAGGCAGATCACGGAGTTGGAGGGTAGGCGCTCAGAGGAGAGAGTCATGAGGCACGGTGTGGTTCAGGGATCGGTACTGGGCCCACTGTTGTTCCTTATATACATAAATGACCTTGCAGCTGCCCTGTCCGGATGCCAGGTTGTTATCTACGCGGACGATAATGGACTCTCCATAAAAGCCAAAACACTGGATGTTGCCAAAATGGAGATGACGAGACATGTCGAAACTGCTGTTGACTGGTTCAACTCCAATCTTCTGAATGTCAACCAAAGTAAAACAGAAAACATAATCTTTTCTCTCAAGAAAACTACAATTCAAGACAACCCAGAAAAAATCAAATTTTTAGGAGTTACATTGGATGCGAAGCTGACTTTCGAGCAGCATGTCAACATTATTTCAAAAAAACTTTGCTCCGCAATCTATGTTCTTCGTAATATATCGAAAATTGTAGATAAAGAAACATCAAAAATGGCATGTTATGGTCTATTTCATTCAGTGAGCGTCTATGGACTCCTAGCATGGGGAAACTCATGTCATACCTCTCGCATCTTTGGCCTGCAGAGAAGAGCAGTTAGAATTGTAGCTGGCATCAAATACCGAGATGATGTCAAACCATCCTTTAGGGACCTAAAAATATTAACTCTTCCAGCACAATATATCCTAGAGTCTCTACTATATTTTCATAGTAACTCTTCAAACTACACTCGTGCCGAAGAGGTCCATAATTACAACACTCGCCAACGTTATAACGTGCAGATTGACTTTTCACGCTTAAAAACCTCCTGGAGCGCAACGCGATATTATGCACCGGCATTTTTCAACAAACTGCCTCATACGATACGAAACATTCCAATAAAGCCATTTAAAAATAAAATCAAGCAATTCTTGTTAAGTAAGTGCTTTTATTCAATAGAAGAATTTTTGCAATATCAGGTCACAGATTTGGATTTTTAACTTGTTTTGAATAGTCTTAACCGTTCATAGTTACTTAGTACTGTCCTTTTATAATGTTTAAAATTTTTTATACAGATGTGATATACCCATTAAGTGATATAGTATTTTATTAATTGTAATTGTAATTGATTGTAACCTAGTTTTAAGATTTTGATAACGCTATGAAACTCTGTTTTAAGTCTGAAATATATACAACCTATAGCAGCAAATAATATCCTTAGTGTCAACCAATATGCCGTCCAAGCTTCCAGGGGAATGCATGATGCCATTTTTAAGTGTCAGAAGAATGTTTATTGGTCCTTAAATGACACAGAATCAACTGCAGCGGTATTCTGCGATCTGTCCAAAGCCTTTGATTGTGTTGATCATGAGTTGTTGCTTTCTAAACTTGAGTCTTATGGTTTCAGGTCTTTCGGGTCGACGTCAACGTGTCTTGCGTCCTGGAGCTACTCCGATTCTCTTACTATCAACTGTGGAGTGCACCAAGGGTCTGTTTTAGGCCCCTCACTGTTCCTATTATATATCAATGATCTTAACTTTTTGCCAATTCAGGGGAAAATTATTCAGTTTGCCGATGATACAACTATATTTCGGTGTCACCCTGATACGGAAGTGCTGGGGGCCCTAATGGCATCTGAGCTGACTACTATTAGAGAGTGGTGTGCCTCTAATAATTTGGTTTTTAATGCGGGTAAGAATAGTGTTATAGGGTTTAAGTGCAGTCTTGATGGTCTGCGGCTTGATAATGTGCCGATTTTTGGGCCTCCTTATTGACTCGCGGCTTTGTTTTGAGGGGCACATTCTAGATTTGTGCAGCAAATTCTCATCAGATTGTTTTGCATTGAAGTTGGCTAAACAAGAACTGGGAAAGGGTGTTGCACGTATGGTGTATTTTGCGCTTGTTGAGTCGCGCCTCCAATATGGTTTGCCGTTTTAGGGTTTTACATCAAAAACCTTATTCAATGTTCTTTTAATTCTGCAAAAGAAAGCGCTAAGGATTGTTTGTGGTGCAGGTGCTAGGGATTCATGTAGACCATTGTTTGTTTTTGAGAGTATACTCACTTTGACCTGCCTTTTTGTCTTGGATACCTCTGTTTTAGTTCACAAATATCGTCATGAGTTCAGAGTTACCGAGAGTGGTTATATGACCCGTGGCTTAAACAATATTCCGCTTCCCATACCTTCAAGCACACTCACTAAGCGATCCCTTATTTATGAGATTCAATTAAGAATATCCAGTCTGCTTCAAAATTTAAGAAGGAACTAAAGAAGTTTTTGCTCACCAAACCGTATTTCGATTTGGAGGAATTTTATAATGGGGTTTTTTGATAGTGTTTTGTCATTGTGCCACATTAATTACATAATAACTTTATAAAACTTTATGTTCATTTTATTTATTATTTTTTTTCACCGGCTTTTTCATCTCTAGTCAATATTTTAAACCATTATGTAGTGTAAGCGAGAGTGTAAGAATTTAATTTGGAGTATTGTTTATACTATATTGTATTCTTAGCTTATAAGTCTTAGATTTAGTATGCTTTATTATAGAAATTTATTTCTTGACAATAAAGTACATTTTCTTTCTTTCTTTCTTTTTGAAACCCAGCTTACATCCAGAAGTCATATAAATGACATAACAAGTAAAGGGCAACTAAAATGTATGGATTTATTGTCAGAAATTGTGAAAAGTTCAATATATTGTGTGTCAAAACTCTTTATTTTTCATATGTGAGAATCATATTGGAATATTATGCTATAATATGGAGCCCATGTTATGAGAACCATAAATATAGCATTGAAAAAATTCAAAATAAATTTCTGAGATATTTACACTATAAGGAAACAGGACTATATGAAATGCATATACCAAAATTAGAAGTCATGAAAGCCCATAATATACAAACTCCACCAAATTGAATTTCATGCACCGACATATAGAAAACAAAATCCTTTGAGCTTATATACTGATGATACTCGAACTAATTACTACAACAACTCCCCAGTCATTGTAATGTGTAAATTATACAACCTGATGTGCTTGCAATTTGATATGTGGAATTTAAGTTCAGTAAGTAGGCCGAGATTAATACTTAATTAAATATTAGAATAAATGTAGATTTTAATGATAAGTAACTCTTTACATTTTTGCCCTCACTTAGGTTAGTCTTCTACCCTACTCTGTAACTGGATGTAAATCTGTAGAGTTTGTAATGAATAAATAAATAAATACCATTGCCTACCAATTTCTAACTCTTCATCCAAATCAGGAAATTCAGGTTTCTGATCAGTTTCGTCACCTTCATAAAAATTATCATTGAATAATTCTTGCATCCTTTTGTCATGAGCTTCAGGATCAAAGTCTCCATCTATGTCTTCGTCATGAAAAGCTAAATCGGTAGCGCCCGTTACTTCTCTAAGTTTCTCAATTTTTTCCTCAATTTCTTTACGTTTCAGCTCTTGCATTTTCTTTATATCGGCCATTTTTTCTTCTTTTTCTTTCAACTTTCTCTCTTTTGTTTCTGCTCGTTTTAGTTTTCTTCTGTCATCAGTTTTTCTCAGTGAATGTTCAACAGTTCTAGGATATCTTTTTATCTGAAATTGTGAAAATTAGATTAAGGAAACATTATCATGATTGAAAAAACTCAAGTTACTTACAAATTCTTGATCAGGTTCTTCAAATCTGAAATTGTATTTATGTTCAAACTCTTCTTGTTTTTCAATTTCTTCCTCATCGCCAGATAAACTGTTGTCAGAATCATGTACAATTTCTTCATAAGTTGGAATATAATCTTCATTATCATTTTCCAGATATCTGGAAGTGATAAGAGTTAGCAAATGCTTTAATAAAAAAAATTCAATTCACCTTTTCTTTAAAACATAATCTCTCAGAAACTTTTCTTCATTATCTAAATTGGGATCATTCCAAAAATCTTTAAGAGGTTTAAGTTCTGTTTTAATTTTGTCATCTTTCAATTCCTCATTTTGTCCAGTCAACCATTGTAAGTATTCAGATTCTTTTTCATTTTCTTCTTTAGTTTTTTGCTGTTGCCTTAATTCCAATAGACCTCCTGCTTTCTCATCATCTACATTATCATCGTCATCGAAATTTGCTTCTTTTATTATTTCATCTTTCAGTTGCTGCTGGTCTTCTGCATATGTTCTTGATCTATAATATTTTAAACAAATTTCACCTTGTTATTCAATCTAATTAGTAATTACCTAGATTTTACTTCATCTTCTTCATCACTTATAATGCCTCCTTTTTCCAATAACAATTTTCTTTCGTAGTCTTTCAGATACATTGGCCGATCTTTAGGTTTTTTCTCTGTTTTAGTTTTATCGTATTTGGCTTGAAAAAATGTAACATTGTTATCGTAAATTTTGGGATCTTTTTTCTTGAGACAAGCCAATGTTTTATAGAAATCTTTCTCAACTTCTTGAGTTAGTTCTACAGCTTCATCATCGTCATCTGAAGAGCTAGATGATTCGCCGTGATCCAGAGCATCTTCTCCGTATTTCGTTTTTACTACAAATATAATAATTATTACAGCACAATTAATATTGGATTCTAAAGTTAAACGTATATGGCCTATAGTTAAAAGATTTCATCAATTTATTACATTTGTTCAGTTCCTCCTTCTTCCTCCATACGTCGTAGTTTTTTGCGTACTGATTTTCCGTTTTAATTTCGCTATCAGAATCCGATGCTCCATCAAAAATACCCTTGTTGGAAATTCTTCCCATGTTAATTTCAGCTTTTCAGAGCGAGAAAATGGGAAAAATTTAGAAGAAATCGGGAAATTTGTTAATCAAGGAAAAAGTGAAAAAGCCAAAAAGCACACTAAAAAAGTTAGGTTAATGTAAGTAAAATTGGTACTGTCAAATCAAGGATAATACACATTAGTACACAGGATTGCTTATCGGCCTCGTTTTTGGTATTCGCGGTCATATTTGTGTAGCACCATTGACGACGTCATCAACTACGTCGTCAGCTGCTTGCGCCAGCGGTCGTAGTTTAGAATATACACGTTTATGATGGAAAATAGAGATCTGATCTAAGCCCTGTGGCCCATTACGGTACTTGCATCATTTTTTTTTATCGCTGATTTCGTAGTCGATAAAAAATAAGTCAACACGTGCTTTTTCTTTTTCTTCTTAGTCAAAAATTGACGGAGATACAACGCCATGAAATTTGCCTATGACGTCACTTATCATATAAATTGATGACGTGGCACAAGCTCAGTAAATCTATATACAGGGTGTCCCACAATCAGCGTTACAGGCCATAACTTTCTTATTTTTAGAAACAAAAATTTGAAAAAAAAATTGACAAATGGTTAGTTAAGCTCTCTTCAAAAATATAAAAATATCTTCCCCTGACAAAATCATCCCCTATTTACAACCCTTCACTTTTTTTTTCAAATGGCACCCCTTATTTATTTTTTATTTTTGAGAAGTTCATGAAATTACAAATTCAATGATGTATGAAAAGTTTGTTTTTCCATGTTTCCTTGGAAAAAAAATTCAAAAATGAAAATAATAATAATGGGGTTCTATTTGAAAAAAAAGGTATTTAAGAGTTGTTTTTAGGGGATGAATTTGTTAGGGAAGATTTTTTTAATATTCTTGAAAAGGGGTTAATTTGCACACAATTAATTGTTTTTTGTCATATTTTTATTTTTGTAGACAAAAATGTGATTGCCTGTATAAGACTAATGGCCGTTTCCACCAACTATTTTAGGGAAGCCCTAACGATAAGTATTCCCTAAACTGACATTTCTCCATGTAAAAATGTCATTCCAGGGAATACTTACCGTTAAGGCTCCCCTAAAATAGTTGGTGGAAACGGCCATAAGGGTGGGACACTCATTTTTTTCCCCCCAAGAGGCATGGAAAAACAAACTTTTTATACCCCGTACAAATTTGTAATTTCATAAGCTTCTCAAAAATAAAAAAAAATAATAGGGGTGCCATTTGAAAAAAAAAAAGTCAAGGGTTGTAAATAGGGGATGATTTTTTCAGGGGATGATTTTTTTATATTTTTGAAGAGAGCTTAAGTAGCCATTAATAATTTTTTTGTTTCAAATTTTTATTTTTGAAAATAGGAAAGTTATGGCCTGTAACGCTGATTGTGGGTCACCCTGTATACAAAACCAAAAAACCAAAGACGTATAACTTCCGGGTTCTTTGGCGTAGTGGGGGCTTGAGATTGGATCTACACAGGCCTTATGAGGACTAGCTTTGCTGTAGTAGTACTAGTGTGTATTATTCTTAGAGCAGGTAAAATATTATCCGTATACACACTATATTATAGAACTACTTTGAACGTTAACTTCTGGAATTACATGTAATTCAAAAAGTTAACTTCAAGTTAACTGTCAAAGCAGTTTTATAATACCCGCCCTTAGGCAATTCAAACCACGTGAGTTTCAAGATGGCGTGGCGGCCATACATGGGCCAAAAAACACAAAAAAATATTTAGATTCTGCTCGATTTATTAGTTTAGGTACCTAGTCAACAAATATTTTATTAAATGATCCAAATCAAAGTTTCAAGCAAAACTCTAAGCAAAATAATTTGAAATACGCATAAAAACACATTCAAAACAAACTTGCTTGGCCGCCACGCCATATTGAATTTCCCCATCTGACAGATGGATTAAATTGCCTAATTAAGCCAAGTACTCATAACCGCGAAATTCGCTCTTTTTTGACACTGCTTCGACAATTTGACGTCTGATTTACGAATAACAGTGGCTAAATAAACCTTTTACATACAGTGTCGACAATAGAGGTCCCGCCGCCATTTTGTGCTCAACCTCTTGCTACTTTTAAATATGAATATATAGGATTTAAATGGACATCTATATAAAAAATTGAAAACAACGTACCTACTTGATGTAGGGTTGCCACCTGTCCGGTTTTCACGGCATGAAATTTTAATGCTCAATTATTTACATTGCCCGTAAACACATTCTTTGCGTTCGGTATTTTGCTCAAAGATCAGAGCATGTTGAGCGGAGCTGTATTCATGTGACCAGCGACAGAACAGAGCAGTTGAAGGCTGCAGAGTGCCAGAAATTTTAATAAACGAACGCGAATGACCCTGCACCGAGTACACTTTTTGAATAAACGAACGGCAAATTCAAGCTCGGATAACTCGGATCAAAATACTGAACGAGAATATACAGGTTTGAACCTAATTGAACCAGATCGAACAAGTTTCACCGCGAGAAAACAGCAAGTTGACTGCTACGGACTGATTTTTCATTCGAAACTTGAAACGAGTCCGAACCTGTCAAGTCCGTAACCTTCGTCAAAGCATAACCTCGAAATCAAAAGAGCCAGAGTACTATTTTTTTTACCCGTTGAGTTAGGCAGGATTTTCATGCATCCGTTTTTCCGTCGAAATATGTCCGAAAAGTCTTCTATTTTGACATATTTATATACGATTATGTCAGAATAGAATGTTAAACGGACATATTTCGTCGGAAAAACGGATGCATCAAAATCCTCCCTTAAGCTTACTTTTCATGCATCCGTTTTTCCGTCAATCCGTTGATCCGGAAGTATTCCTATTGGTCCAATATTTTGGCGCCAGAATATTGGACCAATAGGAATACTTCCGGATCAACGGATTGACGGAAAAACGGATGCATGAAAAGTAAGCTTAGGGTGGATTTTCATGCATCCGTTTTTCCGACGAAATATGTCCGAAAAACATTCTATTCTGACATAATCGTATATAAATATGTCAAAATAGAAGACTTTTCGGACATATTTCGACGGAAAAACGGATGCATGAAACTCCGGCCTTAGTAGCCACTCAATGTCAAAAGCTTGAACGTTCCTTTTCAAAGTGCGTTAAGCACTCGAGTCGCTCATAGTGCATCGACCTTTCCCCTGATGCACCAAATTTGCGGTGGGTGCAAGAAGCCTTTTCAGGTTATGTTAATATGGTTAATATCAAAAAAAGAAAGTTCTCGTGCCTCAGACGCTACGCTAATACGGTACCGCTAACCATACGGTATTTCACATGGTATTTTTATAGTTCTCGGACACGAAGGCACATAAATCCCTTATTCTGTTTACATTTTGACAGCTGGGTTGAGTGATCTACTCGGTCTACTCAACTTTTTTTTGCTTATTTTTCAACTCTTACTTTTCCTGAAGATTCCTGAGCTTCATTAATTTTTCCTTGGTGTTTTTTATGGAGGAATTATTAGAAGTTGCTGTTTTTGCAGATATAAATGGAACGTGAACTAGTTTTGACATTGCATAGCGTTACGGTAAGGCATCCGCTAAGTTCCGTTAGATATCGGGCTCCGCTAACGCTAATACCGTAAGAACTGTCATACTTGTCAAATAGCGTTACGGTATTCAAAATTTGGACGGCACGAGAACTCTCTAGATAAAATATCTATACCGAATTGTCTGTTTTGGAGTGATTCCGAGTTCAAGAGCGACACCTTCGGAGTAACTCGATGTTTAAGGGCGGGTATTATAAAACTACTCGGAGAGTTAACTTAAAGTTAACCTCTGGAATTACATGTGATTCAAAAAGTTAACTTCAAGTTAACTGTCAGAGCAGTTTTATAATACCCACCCTAAAAGGAATAAATTGGTCTGTAGCCGCGAGTACCCAAGAATCGTCCTAACCTAACTTTTATGTTTATATTTTCATTTGGTGTGACTAGATTAGATTTTCAAATTTTCATCTTCTCAATTAAGTATTTATGAATTAAAAGAAAACCTCATTAATTTGATTTTGTTTGTTCAAAAATGGAGGTCTTCGATAGTAAATTAAATCCGAACAATCCAGTTCAAATATCTCAATTGTTTTCGCGTTTAGTGGAAAATGTTACCAGCAGCAAAAACGGCGGCAAGCAAGAATTTATTTATTTGAAAAGTAAATGTTTAGGAGAAAACCATTTGATAGGCGACGTAGCTAGAATATCGATACTGAAGCTAATTGAAAATGGGGTTTTTCAAATTGATCAAGTATTTGCCGATTTCATCACTAGTATTTCTACTGCAAGGTAAGTTTACTAGTAAATGCCTTGTGGAAAGTTGGGAGACTGCTTTATCCGAGGCTTTACGAGGTTGTGTAAAGAGGATCATAAAATACAGTTAATAGATATGAAACAATTTATAGTTATTAATGATTAATGATACTAGTTCGATATGAACACCATAATGAAACGCGTGTAACCTTAAACCACGAGGCGTTAGCCGAGTGGTTTAGTTACACAAGTTTCATTAATAAAGTTTATATCGAACGTGTATCATTCAAAATTTAATCTACAACGGTCCAAATAGATTTGGTTTGCCTTGAAATAGCAAAAACTTTTCAAATTAAAATTCAAAATTTAGCAGGTGCCCGTACTAGTCGGGAACCTGCTTGTTCATTTTCAGAATTTTGACTTTAGCAGCTTCAATATTGGAGTCAATTTTTGTACCATAAATTGAGTTTTATAGTGAAAAATAATATTGATATTGGGGATTCTGAGTTCGAAAGTGTCCCTTCGAATATTGAGACAGCATCAATGAAAAGGTTCTTCTGGTAACTAGCTTTCTTTTTGATGAGTATTATAATGAAAATCTGTATCGTAATGAAGTTCATTATGATACAGATTTTAATCGTTTAATAGCGTATTATGAAATGTCAGTAGAAAAAAATTATAAGAAAACCAAAAGAAAGGCATAATATAACTTATATTAATAAAGAAGCTTACTATTTAAAAACGATTTTCAGTCACTAATATGCGTAATACAAAATGCAAAAAAAAGCTACCACCACTAAAACATTTTATGATCGCAATAATGATTGGATAAATGGTCACTTTTTGTATCTGATAAAGCAGAGAGATAAAACTTACACAAAATTAAAACGAAATCCGGACAACACTTACTTAAGAAATGAATTTAAATCTTTGAAAAATCTATGTAACAATTTAAAACACAAGCTTAAAAAAACCTACATTTCTCGAAAGTTTGAAATTGCTCGTGGAAATATAAGGAAAACATGGCAGGTTGTGAAAAGCGTTATTTCGAATAATTATGCAAGGCATGATGAAACAAACCATATTGATCACCTATTAATTAATGGCAAAAAAATCAATGAAGATCAGCAAATAATTTGAACATCTACTTTAGACACATAGGAAGCAATATTGGTCAAGAAGTTGTGCAACAAAGACAGCTTTACACACACATATGTTTCGATGACGAATTTCCAGAAGAACACCAAGAAAGAAAGAAAGAAAGAAAGAAAACATGCTTTATTGTCCAAGTTAAAATAAACTTATTGACAAACCTATAACTTAATTCTAAATCCTTAAAAATAAGTGCATGGGTTGATCTATAAATAAAGAAAGCCTGGTAAGTTAACCGAAACATTAAAAGTAAGGTACATGAAACAAGTTATTACAACAAAAGCATTATCCAATATTACTATGTGGTAGTGTGAGATTGTAAATTTTTTGGCCATTTCAACGTTAGGAACAATTAACATTATCATCACAAAAATAAGCAATGAACAGAGCCATACAAAAATAAAATAAAGAACGCACTATAACAGACATTAAATACTACAAAAATATCGACAGAAACAGAGTAATCCTAAAAATTTGGTGTAGGTACCTAAATTAGGAATTTTGAAGGCAGCAAAGAAAAGTATAAAAGTAACTGATCAGAATAGGTCTAGTCGAGTAAAAAAGAGAATCATAATGAAAAGGGCTACCTACTTAGGTGTTTTTTTTTTTTTATAAGGACACATTAAAGTACTCATCAGTTGAATAAAATGCCTGCAACAGCAGTGCATCTTCAACTGTTTTTCTGAACTTTGAGAGGTCAGAGATTTGCTTTAAAAATGAAGGAAGATGATTGTAAATTTTAATGCTATCATAGATAATGGATTTTTTAACGAGAGTTGAATGAGGAATCGGAAGAGGTATATTAGTATTTTGTCGAGTAGGACGATTGGCTTGATGTGCAGGAAATATGGAAATATTTTTGTGGATTAGACTTACTGTCTCCAGGATAAATAAGCAAGGTAAGGTAAGTATTTTATGAGTAATGAAAAGAGGCCTGCAATGGGAGTTAAGAGGAGCCTTGGCCATAAAACGGATGGCGCGTTTTTGAAGTTTGAAGACTGAATCAGCAAGATAATGACTGCAACAACCCCAGAATGGTAATCCGTAGGAAAGATGGGAATGGATTACAGCATAGTGTAACGGTAACGAGCCGCCCATGTGTAGCGGATTCTAGATTTTACGCCGATGTTCAAAAACAAGGTCGAACGCGGTTCTTCCCGAATTTACGTGAATAAATTACGGCAATATATAAGGACGGGTTTTAGCTTGTAAGTTTAAGTTTCAGTTCGATTGTGATACGATTTAAATAGTGATTGTAAAGAGTTTAATTGTTGAGTTTGTTAATAAAGTAATTAGTGTCAGAGTGTTTTTTTAAGTGGAATAAATTATTGCTGTGTTAATTGGACTTTGATTTTTGGGATAAACGGAACGAACAACGAACCCAAGATTTTTGTCAGCAGGCAACCCAAAGCCGCGACAATTGGTGCCAAGAAGTGGGATATAAAAGACTGCAGAGTGAAATCCAATTACGGAAGTGCGGGGACACTAGTGTAGTATAAAATCTGAACACTAAGTGAACACTGGGACAGTTAGTGCAGTGCAAACAGTGACAATCACAAAAAGAGACTTAACCGATCGTGTGAATTACCCTGGAAGTGACTCTATACCCGATTTAGACTGTGATAGTGAATCTTCGAGTGAGTTCTAGAAAATTCTATTTGGAAACTAAGGGAGATATCGAATTTATGACTTCGCCGACGTATTCAGAACATCAATCGTCATTCAGAAGAGGTTTTTCGAGGAATTTCGGGAAAATTCTAGAACATTCTATTTGGAAACCAAGGGAGATATCGAAATTGTGACTTCACCGACGTTTTTGCTGTATCAATCGAAATCTAGAAAATAAATTTCAAGGAAATTCCAGAACATTCTATTCGCGAATAAAGCAAGTTATCCAATTTGTGACTTCACCGGCGTGTTGGAACTTCGAGCACAGACCAGAAAAGATATTTGAAGAAAGTGCGAGGGAAATTCTAGAACATTCTGTATATGCCTATCACAAGACAACAAGCCAAAATGGACAAACAAAAAGTTGAAGAACTCCTGCGCAAAATGTTGGAACTTCAAGAGACCAAACGACAACAAGAAAAAAAAGACGAAGAAGCCAGACGACTACAAGAAAAACAAGACGTAGAAGCCAGACGACAACAAGAAAAACAAGACGAAGAAGCTAGAAGACAACAAGAAAAACAGGACGAAGAAGCCAGACGACTACAAGAAAAACAAGACGAAGAAGCCAGACGACAACAAGAAAAACAAGACGAAGAACTCAGGCGACAAAAAGAAAAACAAGAAGAAGAAGAAGCTAGACGACAACAAGAAGAAGCTAGACGACAACAAGAAGAAGCTAGGCGACAACAAGAACGACAAGAAGACCTTGCAAAACTGCAGAAGATATTCCAAACCATACAAGGAACTGTCGCTAACTTAGACCAGAAGATTGAAAAAGTTAAAGAAGATGTGCAAGAAGTTAAACACGACGTCCAGGAAGTAAAAACTGAAGTCAAAATCGATGTTCAAGAAGTTAAAGACGATGTAAGAGAAGTTAAACACGACGTTCAGGGAGTAAAAGCTGAGGTCAAAGCCGATCTTCAAGAAGTTAAAGACGATGTTCAGCAATTAAGACAAGAAGTTGAGGACCAAGTTCAAGCACTCGAGGATAAGATGCGTAGATTAGAAATACAGTCCATAAATCCAGCTAGTGTTGGAGCATTCTCCAGTATGAAGATAAAACCACCAACTTTCGACGGTTCTACGTCCTGGACCATGTATATTCGACAATTTGAAGCTGCTGCAAATACCAACGGATGGAACGACCAAGAAAAAGCTACAGCACTAATAGTGGCGCTACGAGGACCTGCCTTAGACCTTCTTCAGTCCATTCCTTCAGTCTACCAACAGAATTACCAGCATCTTAGTCAAACTTTAGAACTGCGCTTCGGAGACCATTACAGACAAGAAGTTTTCAGAACTCAAGTTAAATCAAGAGTTCAAAAACCCGGCGAGAGTCTACAAGAATTTGAATCGGAAGTTAAAAGGCTAGTGAGTTTGGCGTTTCCTGCAGCTGGGGAAGACATGCAGGAATGGATGGCAGTATCTGCGTTTATTGATGGTCTCAGAGATTCGAAGATCCAGGAAAACCTAAGAATGTCCAAGTTCAGACAAAGTAGCGAAGCCCTTGTCCGAGCATTAGAACTGGAAGCAATATTTGGTGCCTCACGACCCAGAATACGAGCAGTGTCCATTGAAGACCCAAAAGATAAACAGTTGTCAAAAGAGGATAGTAGCTTCGAAACTAAAATGAGTAATTTCATGGAGAGAATGGAGAAACTGTTACAAGAACATAGAAAAATGGGAAACGATTCCAGACAAACACCAACCCCGAGAAACCGAATAGAGTGCTACCGGTGCCATAAGCTTGGGCATATTCAACGAGATTGTAGAGTGAGGATGTCTTCTCTATCAAGGGATCGTTTCCAACGCTTTTCGAGATCGAGAGACGCCAGCCCTAATAACAGACAGGGAAACGAGAACTAACCAGTATGGAGGGGCGAATGCTGGTTAGTAATGACGAAGCCCCCAGGGTTGTTTACATAAAATCATTGGGCAGTCATTATAGAGGATTAACATTCGAAGGACAAATTAATGGAGAATTGAAAACTATCACTTTTGATACGGGTGCTGAAGTTTCCATAATTAAAAGAACATTAGTCAAGTCTCGAGCAATCCAACCGCTCACTAGAAACCTGTCACTACGAACAGTCACCGGCGAATCTGCACCAGTTCAAGGAGAAGCGATGGTTGAGCTCACTTTTGGATCTTCCACCTTCAGGCACAGAACACTAGTAGCCGATATAGAAGATGATTTTATTTTGGGAATGGATTTGATCGGCCAACATGGTTTCTCTTTTGATCCTTCCATGAACATCCTTAAATTTGGTAATGAAGAAATTGTCCTAACAACACAAGAAGAATCCGATGCCGTTAAGATCTTGGCCACAACCCCAGTGAGGATTCCTGGAAGTACTGAGAAGATCATTTGCGGAAGATTGGAAACAAACCCTGGGTGCTGCGTTGGGCTAACACGTAATTTCATTGGAGATAAACCAGAAAGATTTCTTGTTGGAAAGACTCTAGTAAGAACAAATGGAGACATTATGATAAGAATTGCCAATGTTTCTTCCGAAACAGTAAGAATAAAAGAAGGAGACATTATTGGAGCTCTCGAACCAGTGAAGCAAATATCGAACTGTGACCTACCAGATAAGCGACATTTTGTGAAATCCAAATTAAATACAGATACCTTGATGCAGACCTTGGCGAAATCATGGAAACATCTCGATCCAGATAGACTTCAAGAAGCCACGGATTTCATTTTGAAAGAAGCTGATGTATTTGTGATGGACAATCAAACCGGACGAACCAGCTTAATTCAACACAAAATTGATACTGGATTGGCACACCCAATTAGACAACCACCACGACGTATGCCAATAGCTAAGCAACAGGAAGTGGAAAACCAAATTGATAAAATGCTTCAAGAGGGAGTCATTGAAGAGTCAAATAGTCCATGGTCCGCGCCAGTAGTATTGGTTACGAAGAAAGATGGGAGTCTTAGGTTTTGTGTGGACTACCGAAAGCTTAATGACGTCACCAAGAAGGACAGCTTCCCTCATCCAAGAATAGACGATACACTAACAACTCTATCGGGCTCTAAATGGTTTTCCACCTTGGATCTCAAAAGTGGATACTGGCAAGTGGCAATACATGACGATGACAAAGAGAAAACTGCCTTCAGTACCGGAAGCGGGCTATACCAGTTTAATGTAATGCCTTTCGGATTGTGTAATGCTCCAGCTACGTTTGAGCGACTGATGCATCTTGTTTTGCGAGGCCTTACATGGAGAACTTGCCTGGTATATATGGATGATGTCATGATTATGGAAAATTCGTTCCAAGAACATCTCAATAACCTAAAAGAAGTTTTTGACCGCTTCCGGAATGCTAACTTGAAACTCAATCCAAATAAGTGTTTCCTATTTCAAAAGAAAGTGGAATTCTTAGGTCACGTGGTATCTGAAGAGGGCATACAAGTTATGGAAGGAAAAATAGATGCTGTCAGGGACTGGCCAAAACCACGCGACAAACATGAACTAAGGAGTTTTCTAGGATTATGTTCTTATTATCGAAGATTTGTGGAAGGATTCGCCAATATAGCTGCTCCACTTCATCGATTAACAGAAGAAAAATCAACATTCAATTGGACCCAAGAATGCGATTCCGCATTTAGAAGATTGAAAGGAGCATTATGTACGAGCCCAGTGTTGTCCTATCCTGATCACAAAGGCATGTTGATTTTGGACACAGATGCAAGTAACACCAGTGTTGGAGCTGTCCTTTCACAAATCCAAAATTCACAAGAACATGTCGTGGAGTACTACAGAAGAACATTATCAAAGCCGGAACGAAATTATTGTGTCACCAGAAGAGAGTTACTTGCCATAGTAAAAGCAGTCGACCATTTTCATAAGTATCTCTACGGACGCAAGTTTCTAATTCGAACAGATCACGCAGCTCTAAAATGGCTTTTAGAAATGAAAACTCCTGAAGGACAGCTTGCTAGATGGATTGAGAAATTGCAGCAATACGATTTCCAAATTAAACATCGACCTGGAAACCTGCATAAAAATGCTGACGCTCTGTCTAGACGGCCATGTAAAGAAGATTGCAAGCATTGTCAAAGAATCGATATACATGAGAAAAACACTAGTCCAGTTGTAAGAAGAACGGGCTTGATCGTCGATGACAAATGGACTACCAAACAAATGAGAGAAGATCAGGAGGCAGACCAGGACATCGGGCAAATTCTACATCTTAAAGAAAATAATGAATGTAGGCCAGAATGGGGGGAAGTGTCAAACAAAAGCTTGATTTACAAGGCGTTGTGGGCCCAGTGGAACTCTCTGGCCGTAGAAAATGGTTTGCTCAAAAGAGTTTGGGAAAGTGCCGATGGGAAATCCACTAAGAGCCAACTGGTTATCCCAAAAGACCGAGTGGAAGATGTATTAAAAGAAATACACGACGGAACCTCAGGGGCACATTTCGGAGTTAACAAGACTTTGGACAAAATTCGGGAACGTTTTTACTGGGTTCACTACCATGAAAACGTTAAAAGATGGTGCCGAAAATGCGACATCTGTGCTACCAGTAAAGGCCCTAAACTAAGATCTCGAGGGCCCATGAAACAGTACAACGTTGGTCTTCCATTTGAGAGAATAGCGATAGATGTAGCAGGACCGTTCCCAGAGTCAGAGCGTGGTAACAAATACATCTTAGTTATCATGGATTACTTCAGTAAATGGCCAGAAGTTTTTGCTATTCCCAATCAAGAAGCCATCACTGTTGCCCAGGTGCTAGTGGACGAAGTTTTTAGTCGTCATGGTGTGCCACTAGAGTTACATTCAGACCAAGGACGTAACTTCGAATCTGCCATCTTTAAGAACATTTGTGAGATCATGGGAATCCGTAAGACCAGGACAACACCTTTACATCCACAGTCTGATGGCATGGTAGAACGATTTAATAAGACCATAGAGGAGCATCTAACAAAAGTGGTCGCAAGGAACCAGCGTGATTGGGACAAACACTTGCCTCTGTTTTTAATGGCTTATAGAGCAGCTGTTCACGAGTCAACAGGTGAAAGTCCAGCCAGAATCGTCTTTGGAAGAGAACTCAGGTTACCTTGCGATTTGATGTTTGGGATACCTGAAGAAGAACGGAGAGAAATCCGAGATTATGCCGACGAAGTAAGGGCACGACTTCTGGATATCCATGATTTTGCTCGGGAGCATATTCAGCTAGCCAGTGACCGGATGAAGACCAGATACGACATGAAAGCCAATTCAGCCGGATTTCAAGAAGGTGATTTAGTGTGGCTGTATAATCCAGCTAGAAAGAAAGGAGTATCGCCGAAGTTGTCTTCAGCGTGGGAGGGACCCTACAAAATAATCAAGAGGATCAATGATTTGGTTTATCGAGTTCAACGCAACACCAGGAGTAAAATGAAAGTTGTACATCTGGACAGGTTGACGAAATATCATGGGCGTGAAGTTGATCGGGACGATCAACCTTAAGAGGAGGGCAGTGTAACGGTAACGAGCCGCCCATGTGTAGCGGATTCTAGATTTTACGCCGATGTTCAAAAACAAGGTCGAACGCGGTTCTTCCCGAATTTACGTGAATAAATTACGGCAATATATAAGGACGGGTTTTAGCTTGTAAGTTTAAGTTTCAGTTCGACTGTGATACGATTTAAATAGTGATTGTAAAGAGTTTAATTGTTGAGTTTGTTAATAAAGTAATTAGTGTCAGAGTGTTTTTTTAAGTGGAATAAATTATTGCTGTGTTAATTGGACTTTGATTTTTGGAATAAACGGAACGAACAACGAACCCAAGATTTTTGTCAGCAGGCAACCCAAAGCCGCGACAATAGTATGTTGTTCTTGCTACAGGTGTACCTAGGTTTTCAGCAACTGTCCTGATGCAATAACACCCAGATGCTAATTTTTTGTTAAGAGAGATTATGTGATTTTGAAACTTTAGGTCAGCATCTATGCGTAGGCCAAGAAATTTGGCAGACAAAGTACTCTTGATGGAAAAGTGGTCAAATGCTATATCATCTATGTTACACCGGAATCCAAGTACCTGAGTTTTGTTAAAGTTGAATAGTAGACCGTTCGCATCACACCACTGTTTAATTAATCCAACGTCTCTAGATATAGTCTCGATTAGATCATCTGTGTCTTTTTTGTGCCAGGTAATTGTGGCATCGTCGGCAAAAGTAGCAATAACTCCGGATATATCAAGGTGCAAAAGATCATTGACATAAATAAGGAACAAAATTGGACCTAAAACTGAGCCTTGTCTTGTGGTACACCAAAGTCAATAGATTGTTTAGAGGAACTCTTGCTGTTGGCTGAGACACTTTGTGTTCTGTTAGTTAGAAACGAGCAAAACCATCTCAAGACATTTCCCGCAAAACCATACACCTCTAACTTCTGCAGCAGTATCCCGTGACTAACACAGTCAAATGCCTTTGAGAAGTCACAGAACACTGCCGCAGTAGCTTCCCCATCATTATAGTGTTTGAAAAGTTGCTGAATTATTCGAAGCATAGCATCATGCGTGTTTTTCTTTGGTAAAAAGCCAAATTGTGCGGTGTTAAAAATATTGTGGTCTGTCAAGAAGTCCATCATACGTTTTTTGACCAGTTTCTCGATAACTTTAGAGATTGTTGATAGTAATGATATTGGCCGATAATTTGATGGATTCTTAGTATCACCTTCTTTGTGTATCGGAACAACTAGAGCTTCCTTAAGGCTAGATGGAAAAGTAACCTCCGAAAAAGATTTATTTATAGCACTAGCTATGACTTTTAAGGCTTGATCTGGCAATTCTTTTAGTATTTTTGAAGATATACCATCAGATCCTGCTGCGTTTTGGTTTTTAATTGATCGAATCACCGTTTTAAGTTCATTGATATTTGTTGGTATAAGTTCAAATGTTTCAGGAACACGCACACTATTTAGATATCGCAGGGGATTGATGTCTGTTTTTATAGTTTGTGTTAAATTAGATGCAATAGAGCAGTAGAAATTATTTAAAACTTCTGGTTCGATATCAATTTGGTTAGGTTTGGATGTGTTTTCCCCGGCTAGTTCACGAACTATGCGCCATGTCTCTTTCGGTTTATTTGGCGAGTTATTTAAACGATTCGAGTAAAATAAGGATTTTGCTTCACGAATTATTTTTCTATAATTTTGACGATAGGTTAAAAAGCAGTTGTTTATGAATAAACTGTTATTAAAGATCAGTCTATTTTTTTCAACCCATGAACTAGAAAAGAATTATCACAAATAATACAGTTTAAACAAAAATTCAGCTCCTGGAACAGATGGGATAACAACGACAGACATACATAGAGTTGCTAGTTCTTATTCTGGCTAATTTAATTAATAAGATGATGTCAGATGGTCAGTATCCCGATTGTCTAAAGTTAGCCAAAATTATTCCGATTCACAAGTCTGGTAGTCTGCATGAACCAGGTAACAAAAGTAAAAATACAGAGAAAGTAATAAAATTTTTATTGAAACTCATTTAAATTCGACCCTCAACAATATGGCTTTCGAAAAGCTAGCAATACACAAGCAGCAGCAGTAGATTTAATTGAGTATATTTCTGCTAGATTGGACAAACATAATTTTGTAATAGCAGTCTTCATAGATCTTCAAATAGCCTTTGACACTGTTAATACTACAATTCTCCTGGACAAATTATACAGTATGGGAATAAGAGGTATCGTTCATAACCTTATCAAAACTTATCTTACTGACAGACAACAATATACATTTGTGAATCAAAAGGAAAGCAACCGAGAAAAACCAACTACAGGCGTCCCACAGGGCTCTGTTTTAGGGCCGCTGCTCTATTTGCTATACATACATAGTTTATCAAAGGTAGACTTAAAGCACAGTGTAAATACATAACCTTTGCTGATGACACTGTCTTACTGTTTGAGGGTCAGGATACAAAAAGCTTGGAACATGATGTTAATCAATGTCTTCTAACATACTACAAGTGGTTACTAAAAAACAATTTGAAAATTAATATAAGTGAAACTGTATATATGTTGTTCAAACAAAAAAATAAACTATCAAATGCCATAAACATTAAATTAAACAACGTTTTGTTGAAAAATGTAGATTTTTATAAATATTTAGGGCTTAAGTAGACAAGGATTTAACATTCAAATATCACCTAAATAAATTGAAGCAAAAACTGGCCACTGCTTGTGGTGCTATAAAAAGATTTGTTGTAACTCTTCCTGTTTTTATGAAACCAGCATTATATGAAGCAATATTTAAATCATACTTGCAATACATGTGTACAATTTGGGCGTCTGCTTCAAAAACACAAATTCAAAAACTCCAGAGACTTCAAAATCGTTTTATTAAATATTTATATAAACTTCCAAGATTGTACCCTACTAAAGAAATATATAAAAAACTATAAGCACTTAAAAGTTGAGCAAGTTTTAAGTTCACAAATTCACTAAAACCATTCAGATGATTCAATTGTAGCTTTTGGTTGTGGTGCATTCAAAAACATTAGAAAATCTTTTTTGAGTGTCAGCGATACTAGCACATTCCACACGCATTTCGCTAAGCGAACTGAGACATAGAATAACTGAGAAAGTGTAAAGTTAGAGTCTCACATACAGTCGTGAGCATTGAAAGTGGAACTATTTTGACACCCACCTGCAGCCGTAATTACAGGTGATAGGAAAAAGGTGTAAATACAAAAGTTGTAGCATTTCATCTGAACCGCCAGAATTTTTACTTAGATTGAACAAATGAGCAACGCAAAGTAAAAAATAAGTCAATGTTCACTTTTTTTAAATGGAATTCCCTGTATTTGGTTCTAAAAATTTCAAAAATAATATCAGAGAAACCAAGTAGGTACCTCAAATTTTACCTGCAGCTTTCATCTGTACAGGTAGAATGGTTCACATAATCAGAGTAGGATAGTATTTTTACAATTTAGGTAGCCGAATGAATAAGAGACTGCGCAACCAAATATAGACAAACTATATGTATTTATTTTTGGAATCGGGGCATTGTGCTCTTCAAGAATATAGAACCAAACATAGTAGTTGGGGAGCTGGCGTCAAAAACATGCAAGAGTTTTCGCAAGGCGGATATTTTCAAAATAGGTCGTACTTTAGTGTTAGAATGCTAGTGTACAGTCAGCACTCACAGTTCCGGGACAGCTGGCTCTGGGACGCGGGCAAAGTTGTAATTTTAAGAAGCATCTAAACTGTTTTCTCAAAGCTCAAAATTTATAGAAATTTTGCACATTATCTGTTTGAAGGTCACAGATAGCGTATGTAAATCGTCAGACGTCTAGTTCGTTGCAAAAAGGGGGTCAGACGTCCTCAAAGTTTTTATTTTATGGCATTTTCTTCGGTGTCCTGTCAAAATATATTTTTGCAGGTATTTGACAAATATATTTGAAGAAAATGCCATAAAATAAAAACTTTGAGGACGTCTGACCCCCTTTTTGCAACGAACTAGACGTCTGACGATTTACATACTTTATCTGTGACCTTCAAACAGATAATGTGCAAAATTTCTATAAATTTTGAGCTTTGAGAAAACAGTTTAGATGCTTCTTAAAATTACAACTTTGCCCGCGTTCCAGAACCAGCTGTCCCGGAACTGTGAGTGCTGACTGTACACTAGCATTCTAGCACTAAAGTAGGACCTATTTTGAAAATATCCGCCTTGCGAAAACTCTTGCATGTTTTTGGCGCCACCTCCTGGACTATAGGGGATCCTATTTTAAAAAAGCTGAAAGCATGCAAAATTTCACATTTCTGACATTGAATTTTTGTTTCTGACCATGGATTCTAAAAATTTAGCCAAAACTGTACAACTTTTGTATTACACTTTTTTTCTACCTGTAAAGGTAAAGGCTGTAGGTGGGGTTTCAATATACAATGAGCACATAAAGGTTGGAATAAAATCTATAAAATATACAGGGTGGATATTTTTCAAAAAAACTCGGACACGTCAATTTTTGATTTTATTGGCCGTTTTTTTGATGATAATACCATATATACAGGGTGACCCAAAAACAAGTTATGACAGCTAACTTTATTTTTTTAAATGAAAACACCAATTTTTTATTTCATTTTTAAATTCTACGTTTAATTCTAAACTTATTTCATGTATCATGTCCTATACCTATCTTCAACTTTTTCGGAAATATTGACAGTTGAAAATTGACTTTTTTGCAGCTTTGACAGGCTGTAGAACCTGAACGGTTAATTTTAGAGCAAAACCGATCACACATTCTACATTAGTTTTCCATAAGCTCGAGGTTTCGTCTCTGGGCGGCCATCATCAACTTTATTTTTTTAAATACGGACCTGGATTTTTTATTCCGGATTTTAAGAGCTTCTAATGTCCCAAAACCAATGACGTATTACACTTATCCGAAAAGTTTATATTATTGGCACTTTCCATAAGAACTTAATGTGTAAGAGAGTGACAGATAGGAGAATTTTGTTAGGAAATTACTAAAAATTAAAAAAAATAAAAATTTCGAATAAATGCGTTACGTCATAGATTTTAGGACATCATAACCTCTTAAAATCCGAAATAAAAAATCCAGGTCCATATTTAAAAAAATGAAGTTGATGATGGCCGCCCAAAGACGAAACGTCGAATCTGAAATTTAAAAGCAACATCTTGTAAAGGGAAAAAAGTGACGATGATATGAAATGACATTTATTTTCAAATTGTTCTTCAAATAGACTTGGGAAAAAATAAACATGATTTTGCAAAATTTCGTTTTTTTCCGAAAATCTTCGGAAATATTCGGAACTTTCCAAATTTCAAAACGACATTTTATTGGTCATAAAATTGCGCAACTTTTCCATAATTTAACCAACCTCGTATCTCTTATAGTTTCCGATATCTCAATGGTCACCCTCGAATTTGGGACACCTGTACATTAAAGGAAAGGCGAGAAAGAGTTGATCTCATTGAAACCTTCAAAGTGCTAACGAGTTATTTCAGCCTAAAAATCGATCTGGCACACTTCCAAATTTCCCGTGCACGAGAACTACGTTACCACTCAAAGAAACTCAACAAAGAAAGATCTACTCTGCTTTTGAGAAAGAACTTTTTGAGCAATAGAGTTATATACAGATGGAACAGCCTTCAGGCATCTACTTTATATTGCTCACAATAATAATATCAATAAGTAACCTTAGGTTTAACGCTTCAAGACTGCTATGGCATTTGCGAGGGCTATTGTTTAATAAGTCAAACTATAATACATTACTTTTTTTTCAGAAATAGCACTTCATTAACAAAAATCATTACTAGCCTATTGTATTTATTGTTGAACAATCAAACGTCTCTTCAAAATAAGAATAAATTAAAGCGGTACCAATTACAGCAACATCCATTGGTGAAAATATTACAAGGAGAATGTCTTTACGAGGTGCAAATGTGTATTTTCAATGAAATCAGTCAAAGTGTTTACAAAGATTTGAGGTGAGACATACCTACATTGATTAAATATTGAAAGTGTATTGTAATATTGTATAACAAATATTTTTTTAGTCTTTCCTCCTCAGTCCATACTCTTTTCGAACCTTTATATCTGTATTGCATATGTAATCCTTCACCAAAACCAGAATTCAGTTTATTAAGACAAAAATTATGGTCTCATTTAATAAAATATGATGAAGAATTTAAGTCAAACATGATTTTGAAAATGTGCTTTTGGTTGCAAGTAAGTTACTGCTAATCTAATTCCTCAATAACTAAAGTGTTTCGTTTTAGATGCAAGATAAAAACTCAGAGCTAGCAGGATCTTTACTAGATGAAGTGTTCCACAGTCAACTAAATTCAGCAGAACACTTAAGAAACCTCGACTACCTGATTTTAATGCAAATTTTAAATATTCACAATATGATATTAAATAATACTGATTGCAGGCGAATAATTAAAATAACACTCCTTATTTTACCAAAAACTACTTTTTGTCATTATAATGTTTCTGTACTTATATTAGCTAAAGCTGTATCAGTTTGTTCACCTCTGTATTTGGAGGATTTATTAAATTTATGTAAGTTTATAAATATCAAATGTGATTCTAATTATATAATAGAGCATTTTTTTTTAGGTTTTTATTTGACAAATGCCGATGTATGCCAACCATACAGTTTTCTGGCCCTAAAATCTACATTACTACACTGGTTAGCTAGTCCTTGCATCTTAACCCAAAGTGCTTTAAGAATTGCTAAAGACATATTAAATTTAAATGATTATGTGTGTAGAAAAAGGCCCTCGGTTATGATATCCAGATTAAGCATACATGAATTCCATTATTTAACATTTTGCAATCCAGAAATATCACTCGGTCTACATTTAGGAATTAAAATTGAATTTTGTAAAAACGAGAATGAGATTATTGCTTTGCTGGAAAGTTTCGAAGAAGCACCAGTGTTTTATTTAAAAAGCTGCTTCAGTTTTCTTTGCGGCATGCTGTTGAATTCAAAATTTAGTGAGGATTGTAAAGTTAAAGTACTTTCAATAATTCTAAAATGTTCCTCATTTCATCTGGAATTCTTACCAAATGTGTTCACATTGATTTTGTATTTGTTGTCTAATACTCAAAATAGTAAGTTGCCTTTTGAGTTATTGAAGGCTCTTCCTCCTATGGTCATGATAAATGAGAACTTACCTAAAGTTATAAGTAAGTAACTGAATTAATTTAAGATTTTTAGATTTCTAATGTTTTTTTTTAGCTATTTTACAAGCCATTTCAAAGCATTCATGTGCATTGAATAGTTTCGCACTTCGTTTACTATATGACACATGGAAAATTGAAAATAAATGTTATTCGATTTTGGAATCTGTTGCTTTGCAATCACCATCTGCACTCACTAAAGATGATATTTTAGAGCGAAATATAACGCGAGCGTATATTTTTATGAAATTATCAGAAAAACGGTAAGATAACGTTAAGGAGTTTGGTTTAGTTGAATCATCAATCTTGTTTTTAGTCCAGAATTGTATGGAAAAGACTTAGTGGGACATCTATCAAGGATCCTCAATGAATGCACAACATCGGATGGTGTAGTTCCTAGTGCTTTAGCCCTAGAGGGAATAAGGCATTTATGTAAAGCAGAGGTTATCGATATTGTTACTACATGGGCCACTCTATCGCCCAAGTTTAAAAATGATACTAGAATCAGAGTTGTAAAAAGGTAGAAATAAGTATTATATATATTTTAAGGCACAATACAGAAATGGCTCTGATTACAAAATCTGAGTAATTGATCAACGAATTTCTACAATTTTTGATTATTTTAGTCTGTGTGAATTAGTGAGCGAAATACCACTCCTGGAGTATGCTCAGTCGTACGAAAAACTTAATGATGAAGTAATACAACAATTATGGCTCTATGTTGTTACAAGCGAAAATGAAGAAATCATAAACTCAGCTTTGCAAGCTTTAGCCACTTTTAGCTTTGAATTGATTTGCCAACATTTCCCAGAAACGTTTTTAGATGATAACAACGCGAAGAGTTTTGTAGGAGGACAATGTATAGTACTAGGTATGTATTAGGATTTCTTAAAAATTTTAAGTATTACATACCAAATTATTTCAGGTAAGACATGGATTAAATTCTTGAAAATTTGCAAAGCAAACAAGGCAGCAGAGAGTTTCCTGGAAAAATTAGTTGCCAATGAAATAGACAACTATTTGAAATATGTGTATCAAGTGAAATCACAAAGAGAACCGGATAGTTATGGAAATTTACCTTCACACAGCATTGTTAGAGCATTGGGAGAATTTATAAAAACCAATTCATGCAAAGTAAGAGTACAAATCACTCAAATAACTGACTAATCAATGCTGGCAACACATACAAATTTAATACTGTAGACGATTTCAAAGACAAAATATTACAAGACTCAAAGCTCACACCTTAATAATCACAATAAGTCGAATATACAATATTTGCATGTCCAAATTTGTCTTACCCTCATTGATTAGTCAGTAAATCTAAAAGAATTGAGTGAAAGGTCCCTCAATTACTTATGCTTCAATCAACGTTTTAGGTAAAAGACTGGAATGAATCCCAAAACAAAGATCTCTTCATTACGTGTTTGCGGATTTTAAGTTTAAAATACTCAAAACCTCTACCTCCGTTGGATTGGTGTTTTCTACAAGAGCTCGTTCACATTCCTGAAATGAAATCGTATTGCTTAGATCTTGCGTCACATCAAGCAATATTATCAGGATCTGCTAGAAGACTGATTGAGAATTATATAGCTGCTGCTACAGAAGATGCAACAGTAAAAATAAATCTTGATATATCATTTATGTTATTTCATTATTCTTATTTTAAGGCTGAAGCAATTCATGTTTATAGAAATTTGAAATACCTCGCCAACAGTATCCAACCAGTACTTCTTAAACCATTTTTCCAAAATTCACTCCATCATGCCTTAAATGCAAATACAGATGACATCCTGGAAACGTTTTTAAGATATTTAAAGGAAGTATTAGATGATGATATACTTCAGGATGTTAATAAAAGAATTATTGAAGAAGTTTTGACTGAATTGGTTTTTATTAGTGACCTATCATGTAAAGTAAGAATATAAGCAATAATCCTAGAAGAGTACTTAAATTATATTTTCAGGCTTTTCCTTTATTTTTAAATTGCATCGCTTCATTTTCTAAAAAAGCCCAAGAGAATATAACAAAATTCAATTTGAAACAAAACAGTGATGAGGAATTTTTAAAAATTGTCAAAATTAGCTGCCATATTTCCAAATATGGAAAATCGACAACGCCACTTATTTGGTTAAATGACATTTTTGAAGCTGCTTTTGTGTACAACTTTGGGCAAGAATTCATTCCATTTATTATCTTCTTTTAACAATAAATTATTTTAGATTAAATCTATATTACGAAGATATTATCTCAGTGCTGAAACATAATTTGAATCATGATGAGTCGCCATCATGGTTAAATGAATTATTTGGTGAAATTCAGGTTAAAGTGGCAGATAGGTGCGATGAAAATGAAATTGGATTTTTATGCGAGCTTTTAGTTATAGCTGTAGTACACTTTTCTGGATTATTTACTATCTTGCCGAAAAATGATTATGAAAGCATAAAATATTTCTTTCCAGCAGCTTTAACGTTTTTGTTGGACGATCTTAAGTGGAGCAACAGTACTTTACAAGTAATGTTAATTTTATTATTTATTCAATACCTATCTTATATAAAATCACAGTAATTAATTTATCCATTATAAACTAGCAAATAAATAAATGATCTTGGATTTTAATTTCAGATTTTAGAATGGCTCCTTCACATGAACACTACAGATACTGTTCCTAAAACTTATCGGACTATTTTTGCATGGGCGTTGTGTAGTTTAAGACACCAAGAGGAATTTTCTAAAAGTTCTAGATGGATGAAATATTTAGATTGTGAATTACAAATTGAGAACTACAACACATAACTCTTGATACATTGTTACATATTTTTAAATAAGAATTTTATAACAGTGAGAAAAATATTAATTATACCTATACTGATGTTTCATTATCTGAGAGTGGTACTGACAATGTTGTGGGTCTTGAATCTGTGACACTCAGAACTTCTTCTTCTGTTGAATAATTTGAATTCATATTTTTGCTTTTGTCAATCAGTTGCTTTCTTTGAGGCGTCCTGTTTGGCGATGATTTTCTGCTGTTGTAAGATTTCAGCATCTTAGCACTAGAAAATAAAAATACTTTTCTGTCAATTCTAATAAGAAAATTAGTGTTCAAAGTGTAAGCATGCAATGCCCTCAGATATAATGACGACATAGTTATCATCTCACAGGGCCAATTTAACTCTACAGTTAGGGAGCGACTGCAAGACGCTCTAGACCGAACAACAAGATGGGTGGATAGAGCAGGAATAAAAAATATCAGTCCCAACAAATCCACCATCATGGCATTTACTGATTTACCTGAAAGCGCAAAATAAAAGAGCTGGAACCACTCAGACTTAAGTGGGAAAACATTAGAGATGCCACCGAAGCCGAATAATTATTCAGTATTCTGCTGATTATTTGATTTTCACTACTGAATATCCCATGTTTGGATATTTTAGTGAATTTTTCAACATACATATTTTTAATTAATACAATTCGAAAAAGGAAATGAAAATACAAACTTATCAAAGAATTCAACTTAACAAAGAATAAAATAAAAAAATATTACTATAGTAGAACAATAGGGGCAGAAAAATCAATAAGTGGTACCTAGGTTATGATGAAAGACCAAATGCTCCGTTCGAGGTAATAACCGATTCCTTCTATTCTCGTACAGGTTTCCAGCATCTGAGAATAGTCGCTCACTGTAAACGGCACTGGAAGAAGCTTATAAATAGACCTTTCCAAGATGGCTCATTTTTGGATATTTTAAAAAACAGTATTTCTTCCAACAAGAAAATGGATAATGGTCTTTGTTTAAAATTTCTCCCGATAAATAAGCCTCTAATTCAATTGCAATATTGTACAAAAGCTGTATCGTTATGGATTTATGGGCAGTGCTTTGACTTGGCTTGGGTCCTACCTGGCAAATAGGAGACAGGTGGTTAGGGGGCGGCATGGTAGTTCGACTGTACAGACCATTGATTCTAGGGTTCCACAGGGTTCGGTGCTTGCTAGCTTCCATCAATATAAATGGAGCCTTTACATTCTTCACTGATGAAACCACGATACCGTGGCCTGGAACAAGTGATGCTACTTTGGAAGAAACGATAAATAGAGACGTACAAAGTATAAAGAAATGGTGTGACGCAAACAGCCTGACTTTTAACGTAAGCAAAACCAATCTTATATCATTTAGGGGAAACGCTCCAAGTATCTCACTGAATGGTGGAGCTGTGAAAAGTACGGACTGTGCAAAGTTTTTGGGAGTTTTTATTGATTGCAAATTAGTTTGATACGCATATTATAATGTTGAGGAAATGGTTGGCCTCTGCTTGTTATGCTGTTAGGATTGTACATGGTGAACTTGAAGCCAAAACAGCAAGAGATGTCTATTTCTCACTGATAGAGTCTCATTTGAGATATGGCATACAGTTTTAGAGCTTTCCTGATCGGCATCTTATTCAGTCTGTTTTTGTCTTGCAGAAGCAGGCTGTGAGATATTTGAGTGGTGCTGGTCAAAGAGATCACTGTAGACCGCTGTTTATTAGGGAGGGGATTCTAACATTGGCTTGTATTTTTATCCTTAGTACAGTAGAGTTGCTTCGCAAAAAATGCAAGGGATCTGATGTCGTTAGGAGTGGGAACCTAACGCCATAGTGATCAAGCTTGTAAAGCAGTCTGGGAAAAGGGACTCTGTCAAAGGCCTTTTCAAAGTCAAGGTCATGTTAAGGTATACAACATCCACTGGTTGACCACCGTCCTGCAAAATAGTCCAGTCGTTGAGACATGAAAGAAGGTTTGTATCTATGGATCTTTTCGATAAGGTTATATATGTAAATGATTTACTAAAACTTCCAGTAACTGCAAAACTAACAGCATTTGTTGATGATGCCAACGCACTATGGACCTCAAAAACTCTTGAAAATTTAAACCTAACCATCGAATCAGATCTATTAAGTATTAAACAGTGGTGCGACTCGAACAAGCTTTGCTTTAACATTCAAAAAACCAATATTTTAACTTTTAAATGTGCCTTGTCTGATATAAAAATTGAAGATCAAATCCTCGAAAACAAAATAACTGTAAAATATCTTGGCATTTACATTGATAAGCAACTTAAATTTGATTCTCATATAGACAACCTAGCAAAAAAAATATCTTGTGCCTGTTACGTCATTAGAGCAGTTACTCAAGAACTCGGCAAAAAAATAGGAAAAAATGCTTACTACTCTTTAATAGAGTCCCATATTCGATATGGGATCGCTTTCTGGGGTTTTTCGCCACAATCTTCAATTCGCACTTTATTTATTTTGCAAAAGAGGGCGGTTCGATATTTATGCAGGGTAGGTTGTAGGGAAACCTGTCGGGGCTTGTTTAAGGAGGAGGCTATTCTGACTGTGCCCTGTATTTTTATTCTTGAGTCGGTATCTCTTATATATAAAAAGTCTGCAAGTCTTGTTCAGGAAAATAATTATTATCTTCGTAATAATAATACGTTACCACTCCCAATACCAAAATTTGCCTTAACAAAGCAATCGATAATTTATGAGAGTAAAAAAATGTTTAATAAACTACCACAGGATATAAAAAACGTTTCCTGTTATAAAGCATTTCGGTCAAATGTTAAAAAATATCTAGCCACCAAGGCTTTCTACAGTTTAAAAGAGTATTATGACGACTAAATGAGCTTTGTGTTACAGTTATTGTATTTTATCTATTTTATAAGTCTAGACCTATTCATTTTGAAATTGTGTTGTGACTTGACTTTGACTGGTTGTTTTGTTATGTATGTATTTAAGCGTGAGTTTGTACAATTTTGATCATGCACCATAAGTTTACTGTCCTGTAAATTTTAATATTAAGTATATTCTTTAGTCTAAGGAAAATTACCCCTTTGAGATGTTACTTGTTTTATTATTGTTTTGTTTATTTTATTATTACTCTTGCTTTGTCAATGAAAATCTACATTTTTAGACAATAAAGCTTGCTTGAAATGAAATGGGTGGCCCAGTCACCACTGTCTGGACAGTGCAGTAGTCACTCCCTTTCAAGTGGGGAAATGTCAGATAACAATAACATCAACAACAAAACAAACAAACAACCTAACCCTACTTTATTGAATAGGCAAAATCAAAACAATCCTCTTCAGGGAGTACAACAAGTGACCCTGAGCCAGGTTGCAAATTCTGTTGATAATGCAATGTTCAGGAATCAAAACAGTGGCCAAAACTCTTATAAATCACAGAAAAAACCGTTTTTTATCCGTGGAGAAAGAACCTGTACGAGTAGTGAAAGTACCGATAATTCTGGGGCTTCTTTTACTGGAATACCATCAAAAAAATGGTTTTATGTGGGCAGAGTAACTAATTCTACGTCAGCTGATATGATAAAGGATTACTTAATGCAGAAAACTGGCTTAACCGAGAATGAGAAGATTGTGGTGAAGTTGCTCAAGGCAGGTGATTATGGCACATCATTTAAGGTCGGTATTGATGCATCGTTTGAAAATCAACTTACACAACCTGAATTTTGGCCTCAGCATGTTGCTGTGAGATACTTCAACTTTGATGTTAGGAGAAGTGCCCCTTGCCTCAACATGGGGTCTTTTCAAGTGCAGGATCAAACGAACGGAACATAAATGTAGATCAACAATTGGCTATATACTACCAGAATGTTTGTAGCTTTAAAAACAAAAAAATTGCTACCCAGCAAACAGCACATATTGATCAATATGATATATTGATATTTACAGAAACATGGATGGATGATTCTTTTGACATTGATTTGTTAGGTTTGAATAGCTATAATGTGTTTTTTTCTACTGACATTTCATAATACGCTATTAAACGATTAAAATCTGTATCATAATGAACTTCATTACGATACAGATTTTCATTATAATACTCATTTTTAATATTATACAATGTAGATAGATGGCAGCACTAGTTGAGATATTAAACATTTTAAACGGTGATTTTGCCTAAAACAATTATTTTGAAAACTATAAAAAAGACTCCGAATTGTTTAAAAGTTACCTTAAGTTTGGGACAAAGAATAATTATTATGGAAATCATGAATGATAACGAAGAATTTTTACTTTCTTCATTATTATACATTGTCAATAGATGGCGCCACCAGTTAAAAAAATTTGAATTTTTTTTTTTGAATTTTGACAGCACTCTGTTTATAGCTTTTCCATGGTAATTTAGCGAAAAACAATAATTTTATAAAAAAAATACTTCAAATTGTTATTAAAAGTTAATACCTAAAGTTTGGGAGAAGGCATTATTATGGAAATATTGAGCGATAACGAAGAATCTTCACTAACACCTCCAGAAATTACAGAAAGGGCGACAAATGCAGTTAATAATATACTACCGGACAAGTCCAAGAAAATTTACGAAAAACTATATGGACAATTTATGGATTGGAGAAACACCAAAAATACATCATCCTTCTCAGAAAATGTTTTGATAGAATATTTTGAAGAGTTACAAGAAAAAATTAAACCTTCAACTATATGGACGCATTACTCAATTATCAAATCCCTATTCAAAGTTAAGCATAATGTTGACATATCTAAATATCATCAAGTTTTATCAATGGCAGTAGAAAAAATAGTGTATGCAACTCTCATGTAATGGCCATTAATACACTCGCATGTTATATACGAAACTCGCCTGCGGCTCGTTTCGTATCCTACAACATGCTCGTGTATTAATGGCTATCATTACATGATCATTGCATAATATACTATTATGTAATCGTACCAAAGAGTCTAGTGATTGTCAGAGAGGTGGTGGGGTTATGATTGCCATTAAGAAGTATTTAAATTCTCTGATTTTACCTTCAGATCAATCGCTTGAGAATTTGTTTGTTGAGGTTAAAATGGGAAAAATATGTATTCTTATTGGATGTGTGTATTTATCACCTAGTACACCATGTGAAAAATATGAGCAATACTGCTCAGCTGTGGATAACATATTGATGAACAAAAAATTTGAATATGTTATGCTTTTTGGTGATTTTAATTTACCAAAAATTACTTGGTCTAATAAAGATTTTGGCTGCGAGCCGAGTGGCAGTATGACTCCTAAGGTAGAATGCATTGCAGACTATTTTTTGTTTCAAAATTTTTTTCAACACAATCAAATAAAAAATATTTATGGTAATGTTCTTGATTTGATTTTTAGCAACGTTCAAGATGTCAATGTAAATGTGGTTCCTGAGCCATTTGTAAAAATTGATAAAAAGCATCCAGCCTTAGAAATTAACTTGAACATTGAATCTGATATGTCTGCGCTTTCATTTGATTATTACTATTATAATTTTAAATATGCTGATTATAATTCCATTAATTTATTCTTGGCTGGTTGTGATTGGGATGAATTAACTGGTGTCGATATTGATACTATGGTTGAATTATTCTACAGTAAATTGCAACAGGCAATAGAGAAGTTTGTACCACTACACAGGGCTAAAAAGTCTAACTTTCCGAGTTGGATGTCTAGGGAACTCAGGGATTTGATAGTTTTCAAGAAAAGATTGCATAGAGATTTTAGGATTAGTGGTTCTATTGATGAATACAATAAGTTTTCTAGTATTCGTAGGGAGTGCAAAAATCTCTACAATCAATCCAGATCTGATTACTTGAAAAATATTGAGTGTACAATCCAAAGTAACCCAAATGAATTCTGGAAATTTGCTAAGAATAAAAATAACACAAATTCCTTGCCGAATAGTATGAGTTTCGGTGACTCTCAAGCATCTACCACTCAAGAAATTGCTAATTTGTTTGCCACATTTTTTGGGCAGGTTTATACACCTATTGATAATTTAAATGAAAATATTTATCAGCATCCTGATATTCAGTCTGATCTCAGTTTGGGTTGCTTGGACATTGAGATGATGGATGTGTTTCATGCTATTGAAGGTTTAAAAAAAACGTTAGGGAAAGGTCCGGATGGTATACCACGAGATTTTATATTTAACTGTCGATTTATTCTTGCACCAATCTTGCATAAAATGTATTCTAAATCGTTGAGCTCTGGAATCTTTCCTAAGAAATGGAAGACAAGTTTTGTTACACCTATTTTTAAGAGTGGGGCAAGAAGTGAAGTTAAAAACTATCGTGCAATTTCAAAAGTATGTTTGTTCAGTAAGATAGTTGAGCAGATTGTAACTGATAAAATTACTCCTCTGCTAGAACCACACATTAATCAAAGTCAGCATGGTTTTTTTAGTGGAAGATCCACTGTAAGTAACTTGCTGGAGTATACTGAATACTTGTCTAGGGCCTTGGAGGCTCTCAGTCAGGTTGATGCAATCTACACGGATTTCTCCAAGGCCTTTGACAAGGTTGATCATAAAATTCTTTTACACAAGTTGTCACTGTATGGACTATTTGGATCTTTTCTTAAATGGTTAGAAAGTTATGTATCGGAAAGATTTCAAATTGTATCTATTAATAATTGTCTGTCCTTTTCCATAAAGGCTTGTTCAGGGGTGCCTCAGGGTGGACATCTATCACCATTGTTATTCAATCTATTCATCAATGATTTGTGTCAATGCATACAAAATACCACTTTTTTACTTTTTGCTGATGATTTCAAATTGTTTTCAATGGTTAATGAGATAACAGACTGTCATGGAGTTCAACAAGATCTTGAGCGTTTTAGTTTGTGGTGCTCAAATAATTGTTTATCCTTGAACACAGACAAGTGTAATGTTATGAGATTTTTTAGGGTGCAGAATCCAATAATATTTGATTACTCTGTCAACAATGTAATAATTAATAGTGTTGACAGAATCAAGGATCTTGGTGTATTTTTTGACCATAAAATGGACTTTAGTATTCATATTGGAAACAGCTACAATAAATGTTTAAGATTATTAGGGTTTATGTCTCACACTTTGGAGGAGGTAAATAACATTTATTGTTTCAAGTTATTGTACTGTTCCTTAATTCGTTCTATTGTTGAATATGCCAGTCCTGTCTGGAATCCACATTATCTTAAATACAGGGAAATTCTAGAAAAAATACAGAGAAGATTTTTACGAATTATTAATTACAAACTTAAAATACCGAAACAAGATATTAATTATGTCTCCCTGCACAGTTTATTAAATTTGGACTCCTTAGAGAATAGAAGATTTATGTTAGACGTTAGATTTCTGTTCAAACTGATGAATAACAATGTGGATAGTCCAAGATTACTAGAATTGGTTTCTCTAGAAGTTCCTCAAAGGACAACAAGAAATTTTTCATTGTTCCATATTGATTTTCATAGAACTAATTATGGAATGAACTCGCCTTTGAACAGAATGGCTAGTTCAATAAACCAATTAGATATTGATATATTTAATGTATCTCTTAGACAGTTCAATAGAACAGTAAATGAGTTCCTAAAAAATAGAATTTAAGTTTGTTGTTAAAATAAAATTAAAATAGTTTTTGTTAAGTTTATACCTATGAAATAGATTTTTATGAAATTATTGTAAAAACATTTATTGTTCAAATGTAAATGGTATATCCGTTGAAATAAATAAATAAAAAAAAAAAATAAATAGAAATGAAAAAAGAACCCGTGACAATTATTTTCTCCGTGCATTTGGAAAGTGTAGATGTTAGGCTAATGGGTCTGTAGTTTCCAGATTGTTAGCGGTCATCATTTTATAGATGGGAGTGACAACTGTGTGGATCCAGGCATTGGGAACATAGCCTGTGGCCAGGGTCTTGGTCAGTGCTATTGACAGCGGTCGACACAAGACATCGACGAGATTTTTTAGGTACACTGGTGTAATACTGTCGGCCCCAGCATCATAGTTGTTTTTGAGGCTATGAATAGCATTCTGGACCTTTTAGGAGGTGAAGTCAATGGTGGTTGTGGTTATACAGTTTACTGCGCGGTGGTGAGTTTCGGCCAGTTGCCGCTGGGCTCTATATTGAAGACTTCCACGAATTGCTCAGCGAACACTTCTGAGACCAAGCTAGGGTGATGCACCAAGTCTCCCGCCTGGTTTTTCAGTGAGACGTGGTTGATTTTTGAGTGTAGTAATTTTGATACATATGAAAAGCATTTTTTTCCACTGGCTGTGGCTATTTCACTCTCATAATTTTCTCTAGCTCTGGTGATAAGCTGTTTTACTCGGTTATTTTGTGCTCTATATCTCTCATAATGAATCGTAGTTCTGTTTCTAGTGTAGCTGTCCCACAAAGAGCGTTTCTTTTTAAGAGCTTCAAAGATGTGGCAAGTCAACCAGGGTTTATGTGGATTGTTTTTCACGAATCTGAGAGGAATGCATTGTTCAATTTATTTATGTGTTGGTAGTATTGGTTGATATCAGGGTCATCTGGGAGATTGTTGAGGAGGAATTCGTTGACATTGGTGTAGCTCTGCTGCCAAAACTGTCTTTTTCTAATGAAATGGGTAGCCTTGATTGGAGTGGTAATCTGTGTAGTAGCACTTATTATTACATTTTCTTTAGGGATACCTTAAAAGTAAAGTTTTCCACAGCAACCCAGAGTTTCTTGAGGAATTAAAAGAACGTATTTGCGAGAAAATGCAGAACATTCCACAAAACACCTTTCAAGCCGTTATTGAAAATTTCCGCTCCAGGGTTGCAGCAGTGTCAAAATAGTCAAGGATCACATATGGATGATGTAATTTTTAAAACATAAAATCCCTATCTGTGTACCTAGTTTCGTAAAAAATAAACATTTTTTTCTCCCGTTTATCTAGTTTTTTTTATCATTGTTTGAAAAGTAAAAAGACTTTTGGTCCACCCAATACTTACGCATCAACGAGCTTCAATAACAGTCTATTATATTGCTGATATTCCTCATCACCAAAATGACTTGGATCATGTCTAGCGTGTTCATAAATATCACAAAACTGATGAATCAACCTTAATCCTGTACCGTTCAAAGGAGCCGCTAGGGTTGTTAATAAATATGCTCTCAAGTTTTCACTGGGGTGCCTTACTAAACAAGAATCCTGTTTTGTAATTTCGTTTTCTAGAATACAAAAATTAAAAATTTCCACTACTCAATTCTGCATTGAGGTATATTAAATTACCAAGAATTTTAACGTCATCCACTGCTTTTAGGCGATAATAATGTGTAGGAATTTGTTGTCCAGGAAATAATATGTATCTTGGGTCGGTGTTGTTAATTAGCTTGGGTTCACATATTATACGAGGTATTGCATCTAGCCTTCTTTCGATTTCTCGTTTTAGGGTCTAAAGTAATAATGTTGGAATAACTGGATTTTCAATATTTTAAACAAAAAAACAAACCTTTGGGCCGTCGTGTCCTATTGGAACGTGCGGTCCTCTTCTAGATCTCAAAGTGAATCTCATAATTTGTCTTTTTGCAAAAAGGAATAACAGAATCACTGTTAGGACTCCTAAGCCTATAATAATCACAACAGCGACTCCGTTCAGCTCTTCCGCCATGTTTTTCGGTTTTGTTAGTTTCTCCGCGTGAGCATTCATCGATGATTATTTACTAGTAAATCAAGTTTAAAGTTTATTTTGATAAATAAAACAACAAACAATCCAAATTAAATCCAACAATAACAAATTCAACTGTCAGCTGTTTTTTTTTGCTATGGATAACGACAAGTGACTTTTGTCAATTATCGGGAAGTTCTGCACCAAGGATAATACAACACTACTAAGGATTGCTTATCGGCCTCCTTTTTGGTAATGGACCTTTCTCATTTTACCTGTGCTGCGCGCGCATCTTGTGGGTGACAGATAATTAAATCGTCAATTTACTGAACACGGTCTGACCCTGACGTATTTAAGCTAACCTCAATAATCAATCAGTATCAATCAATATTGCTGAAAATTAATACAAAAACTGTTTATGATACAATGGTTCAAATGAGTTGAATGAGTTCTTGTCAGAATTAGGCGAAAAAGAAGTGAAACCTTTCTTTTCACAAGTTCCCAAGCAATCAAATTGTAAGAAAACAATAGTTACGTGCTCTCAACCCGAATGAAGACGATTTAAGTTGGGACAGAGATTTGAGGGTTCGTAAAATAACGATTTTTATATCAAATACAATAATAATGTACACTTAAAGGGGGTGTGCGCCAAAAATTAAAGTTTTAGTGTAAAAAAATCTAAGAATAGCTGTTCAAACCTCGTTATTCTACGATAAACCATCGCTGAGATATACCGCTTTAAAGTGTGGACGACGCTCTCGTGACGTCACGAAAACTTCGTCCAGCGGCGCTCTGCATTGTTAATTTGATTGTTCCCGGCACGCGTGAGTGGTTTTTGTTTAGATTATTGCAGGTAACACAGGAAAAACATTATGTAAATTTAATTAAATCCACTTTCTCGTGCGTCGCTTGAGCTTTCGTGACGTCATAGGGTGAGATGCGGTACCTTCATAGAGCCATATCTGCGGTATTATTTGTCATAGAGGGGTACGGATTTCACTGTTATTCTTAGATTTTTTTTCTCTTTTTTTTGAGATGAAGTTGTTTTTTTGGCGCACACCCCCTTTAAAGGTTTGCTGCAAACATTTTTGCTGCGGTGGGTTTTCTTTCTAATTAATGTTAATACGTATTTTGTCATATTTACGTTTAAAAATAAACAAAAACAGAAACATAACCGAAATTGCACAATTTGACAAGTGGAACCAATCAAAGTCATTCCACACATGTATCGCGCGTCATATGTGTCTTTTTCTTTATTGCAGAAATCGTAATAAACTATCCTTGTTGTTCATTGCATGAGAAAGGTCCATTGCGGATTGTCGCCATATTGGCGTGTCACCATTGCCGACATCATTAACTAAGTCGTCAGCTGTTTGCGCCACCGGTCGTAGTAGCATGTTGATAATTGGTCTGTTTCCGCAGAAATCACAAACCAGTCAGAGCGATTTACATTGTTTGAAAACAGTCAGAAAACTAGTTTCAACCAACGAAATTCACTGACTGGATTTCTGCAGAAACAGACATAGCAGTAAAACCAAGTATCCATGAAGCAAAAGCATGCGGAATCATAACCTGTGGTGCAAACAGCCTACGTCAAGGCGAGAAACGACATGCTGTCTACGTCACAAATGGTGATTTGGTGGGGTGAGGAGCTTTAGATGTGTTCTACATAGGCCTTATGAGGATAGGCTATCCTATAGTAGTAGTGTGTATTATCCGTGGGTTCGGACCACGGATGTTGTCTCGAAAAAAAAAATTGTCTGCGGCGCTATTTTTTTTTTTAAATCTATGAATATGAAACATCACTGCTTCATAAAAATGTCTCGTTTTTTTATCAGAAGAATATGGTAGGCTTAAACTCGAAGCAAAATAACTAATTATCATAAAAAATCTGAGTAAAAAATACATATTCAAAATAAACTTGCTTGGCCACCACGCCATATTGAATTTTGTGTTTGACAGATGGATTGCCTAGTATTTGAAAGGTTATGTTGTATGTTGTTTTGCTTTTTTAAGGTCTGCCTATCTATCTTTGAAATTTTTATTTTAATTGAATGTTTTTTAATATGCCAGAGCCTCTATTGTATTTGTAACAGTATAAATATCTCTTATATAAAACTTTTATAAATTATGGCTAATCATTACGAAGTTCCAAACTGGTAAGTTCCAAAGTTTTTCAAATTCTTGTTTTTAGTTCATATTCCGAGGCTACCTAGCTCGAAACACCTCCACATTTAACTTAAATTTAGCCTACCTATCGTATAAATATGAATATACAGTGTTTGAATAATTGAGAAACGGTTAAGTTAATTTTTTTTATATTCCTTGTTATTTTCACTCTTGAAAACCAAGCTTTCGGAGCTTTTTTCTCCTTCAGGGTTATAATACAATAATATAATGGTTGATATGCAAACTTGGATTGTTTGTAAACAAACTAACCAACCCATTGGCTATTTTGATAAAAAACACAATTTTCACCAAAGTAGCAGCTAGTTTGCAAACTAGCCAAGAGTCTTCGCTAATTTACTTGAAATTATAGAGAAAACTAAATAGATGGTTAGTTTATAAACTATCCAATACAACCTGGCTAATATGAAAACAATAATTTCTAGTAAGACAAAATAGCCAAACCTTTGGCTAGTTTAGGTATAAACTAACCACCCAATTTTCTGGCTAAACTACAAATAATAATGTTAGAGTAGGTTTTTAATACGGAATGGTATTGTTTTTTCTTTGCTGTCCTGGCTGGATCTGTTTTAATATTTCACAGGAACAGCAGCAGTTATTGTTGATAAAACGAATCACAAAGAAAAATTTACCAACTTCATTAGATCCTCATAATAAGAAAACAAATAATTCCCAACTTTACAATGAAAGTAGCTATAAAAGTGTTGTAGAGAGGTTACTCATGTGCCATTAATTCCTGACCAATCCGCTCATCGGAATGAACAATTTTACATGTCAGGTAACTTACATACTCGGCCTATTAAGTAATATCCAGAATCATCAAAGATTTGATAGAAACTCAGGAAATCAGGATTTACACTCAAATTCACATAGGTACCTAATATATCAGTGGGAACTTACATTACAAATAAGCTCAAAACTACCGTTCTCAATCAAAAAATGTATATACCTGTAGGCGGATTTTCGGTCCAGGGAGTAGAGCTTCCCGATAAAACGAATGTTTTGCCCTTGTCAATGTAATCAAAAAGTAAGCGAGAATGATAAAGACGAAAAATTTGTTCTCTCGGGGAGCTTTACTTCCTGGCCGGAGAATCGCCCCCCTGGGTAGAATAGGTGCAGAATCCACTAACAAAGATATTCAGCAGTATATATGCAGCAACCTGAGTGCTAGTGAGTCTGAAGTAGTTGTTAAAGAAATGAGATCTGATAGCAGAATGAAATCTTTTAAGATAGGTATAGAAGATAGGTATTTTAACAATATAATTCATGACAATTTCTAGCGTCTGGGAGCAGTATTTAGGGAATTTAACTTCAACGTACCAAGAAAATCAAATGTGCAGTCAAATTTTCAGTATCATCAGCAGCCAAGAAACCGGTACTAAATATTTATTATCAGAATGTTAGGGGGATTAAGACTAAAATTAAGACTCTCATGTGTAATATGCTTGTTGATAACTATGATATCGTACTGCTGACAGAAACATTTCTCGATGAAACTATTGACACCAATGAATTAGCATTACAGGATAAGTATATCATCTTTAGATGTGATCGGTCTTCAAAAACAAGCATTCATAAGTCTCAGGGTGGTATCATTATTGCAGTTAACAATAAACTAAAATGCAAATTACTATCCACTGATGTGGAATCCCTTGAACAGCTTTTTGTAATGGTCTCAATGGATAAAAAACGTTTATTGTTTGGTAATGTTTATATTCCTCCTGACTCACCATGTGAAGTCTACGAGAAATATACATCTTCTGTTGTACAAGTTGTTGATAGTTATTCCTGTGAAAATACTGGTGTCTTTTTGTGTGGTGATTTCAACAGACCAAATGTATTGTGGGTTAATGACGATGATGGACCAACTGAGTAGATCTTAGACCAAATCAGATGCCTGGCAGATTGTATGGTATTTTTTAATCTAAACCAAGTCAGCCAAATCTCGAATCAATTTGAAAATTACTTGGACTCAATCTTTAGCAATAGGAGATAGGAGGGATTTGTCAATTGTTCCATGTGTTAATCCCCTCCTGAAATTAGATAAACCGCACCCGGCATTAGAGTTTGTGGTGAACATTGACAAATCAATAGATCACTTGTCAGCTGATTGCTTTTATTATAATTTCAAATTGTGTAACTTTAGAGATCTCGTATTGGCATTATCGATGGTTGATTGGGGTAATATTTTATTGATTGAGGACTTAGATCACTTAATTGGAGTATTTAATGAGAACCTTTATGATGCTATCGAAGTATCAACCCCAGTGAATCGGCATAAGAACCCTAAGTTTCCAAAATGGATGGATGTCACCTGGAAAGAATTGATTTTAATAAAGAAAGCTGCACACAAAATATTTAAGGAAACATCTTCTTTAGAGGATTACCTTGAGTTTTCTCAATTAAGGGTAAAATTTAAGGAATATGCTTCAATCAGCCATCAAAATTACCTAGATAGTATAAAGGATAGGGTGCAGGATCGAAATGGATTTTGGAGTTACATTAGGTCAAAGCAAAATACAAATAGTTTTCCCAGTTTAATGACTGCATTCGATTTAAAAGTGGTGCATTAGGATGTAAAACGATCTGTAGAATCCGAAAAACTAAAAATATACAGGGTGTGGCATTTTAAAATAAAAAGTTTCGATCATTTCCGATGAAACCGGAAGTCAGTAGAATATCAACCCTACCAAGTTTCGTTGATATCGATAAACAAATGAAAAAATGGCAGCCGGAAAGTAATCTCAGGGTGATTTTCGTAGCCCATGCGCTAGTTGTGCATTAGCTCACAGATGGGTTGAAAATTAGAAAATAAATATGTAATACCGAAGAATATTGCGTTAGCTATAACATTCTTAGATGATACCAAGTCACCTGAAAACTGGAAAATTTCTCATGCATGGGCTACTTAAATCAGAGTTTGTCGGGGTGTATAGAATTTTTATTCTAACTTTGAGGAAGAAGCAAAAAAGCTAGAAAAGCGTGATTTTGTAAAAGAGTAAAAATTAAAAAAATAACTTGACTGTATTCCAATTATTCAAATATTATCAATTACCAATCCACATAAATAGTACATAAATATATAAAATAATTAGAATAATTTTTAGGGCTGGTAAACCACCAGTAGGCCTGCACTTGGACGTTCTCAAAGGTGACAAACTTATTCAGAAGCTCATGATCGACCAAAAGAAATGCTACCTTTTCGGTAGAAATACTCAGATGAACGATTTCTGCATTGATCATGCATCTTGCTCCAGGGTGCATGCAGCTTTTGTTTGGCATAAACACTTGAATAGAGCCTTTTTGGTTGATTTAGGAAGTAGTAAGTAGTGCAAATTATTTACTCAACATATAGTTTGATACTGATAGTAGAATTCAATATTCAAATTATTCTAGCTCATGGAACATTCATTGGTAGTTTAAGACTTGAAGGATACAAACCTACTCAGCTACCAATCGATTCTGGTTTTCATTTTGGCGCATCTACCAGAAACTACATAATAAGAGAACGTCCCCAAACTGGTATCAGGCCAATTATCGACGAAATTGAAAAGGCAGGGGAAGAAACTGAAGGAGGGCTTTTAGGACTTCCCGAAACTGAGACAGAATTGGACGTAAGATCTAGGTTAATTTTGTGCGATATTTTTAAACTAGGACTCATTTGCTTCTAGAATCTTACCGAATTTAATACAGCCCACAATAGACGTATATCCATGTTGGGTATAAGCGATGACATAGAAAAACGAAATAAAAATCGCAAAAGAAAAAGAAACATGGTGTCGTTTAATGAAGACGAAGAAATTATTAACCCAGAAGATATAGATCCTAGTATCGGACGTTTTAGAAACCTCATACAAACAACGGTTATTCCAAGTGCAAATAAAAGAAGTAAATTTGGAGACAATTTTGGCGTGGCCCATCATTCAATGCCTGAATTTAAAGTGCCAAAAGTATTGCATCATCCTCAGCATGATTTATACAATGATCTACCTCCTGAAACGCAAACATCACCTAGTATCGCCAATATGAGTAATATTTACAGTTCTTTAAGTTCAAGGTAAAAAAATCAATAATTTGTTCTCATTTTTATTTCCATTATTATCATCATCAAAATTTTGAAAATCCCGATACCAAAAACTGTTCTTATTTTTAGATTGGGTGTAGGATTACCAAATCCAGCTCCAGATGTAGACATGGGCCTACCAACTCCCTCAACGTTCGCTCCACCACAAATGCAAGTTCCAGATACGATGGAACCGAAAAAGAAAAAATACGCCAAAGAAGCTTGGCCGGGAAAAAAGCCTGTTCAAACGTTGCTTGTGTAAACTTTTGGGTGTCTGTTTGAAATGGATATTATTTGCTCTTATTTTTAAAATTTAAATGAAGTAAAATAAAGGTACATGACTGGGTGTAGATTTATGCTTGTTATGTTGAAATGATGAATTTTTGTACGATATGTTTAGAAACAGGGTTTCTTTTCAAAAATTTTGCATCCTGCAGGCATAATTAGGCATAAGCTTTATGAAAAAAATTAAATGTAATAAAAAAGCTATCAGTACAAGTTATCATGTTTCATCTAAAAAAAAATTGTATTCGGTTAGTACTCTATTTTACAAGGTTTAGCAAAAAGTTTATTACAAACATGATTTCGCCTAGACCAGTGATTCTCAAACTGGGTTCCGCGGAACCCCAAGGTTCCGCAAAGGGGCGATTGGGGTTCCGCAAGCAGTCAATAAAATATTTAAAAAAAAAAATTGTGGGATCACCCAACAATGAAATCATGTCATGAACATAAAAAGGATATTCTTAGTACTCGCCTTTCTTCTTTTGTGTATTCGAGGTCGCTTATTTGGGTATAAATTTCACTTTAATTATTGGGGATTAAATGGGTACTTTAAATCCCTCTAAAGTACATAAAATAGTGTATATCAGGACTAAAGTGTTTTTCAATCCCTCAACAAATTGATTATTTATATTATTTCATCATCATCAGGGTGATTTACCGCCCGTGCAATAGCTTTGCAGGTGGATTAGATGCTATTTCTACTAATCCACCTGAAAACTGGACAATTCCTAATGCACAAGCTACGTAAATCACGGTATATATGGATATCCCTACGTACCATTGAGTTATACTTACCTACCTAAATAATATACTAATGTAGGTAAATAACTAATTTTTTTTTTCTATTTACTCCTCTTTTAGAAGCTTATTAAGTAGTAAGTATTAATATCTATATTTTGACACAAAGCCAAACATTATGTCTTAGGTGTTCCCTAGAAAAAAAAAAGTGCGCTCTAGGGTTCCTCACTCTACAAAAGATTGAGAACCACTGGCCTAGACCAATCATTGGAATGCACAATATTTTAATATACAGAATACAGATCTGACCAACCTACTACTACTAGACACATAGGGAGTAATTGACGAATCAGCTTGTACTCTTTTAATTAATGATCCACCATGATGATTCCGCAGTGAAATGGGTATAAGTCAACTAGTCCCATTGAAGCTTCTGTCTATATAGCCATATAGCCTATTCACATGACTGCTAATGTGACTGGTATGATGCACTTTTTCAGGATGTTACATTTTTGCGAAAATTACGCTAGGTTTCAATTGCTCAAGTTGGAGGTTTTATAAATGAAACACTAAAAAATAGATGTCGAGACCCATTTATTTATTTGTTGATAAATAATTATACCTAATAAGTTATAGTTTGAAAGAATTTAATTTTGGAATCCAGGATGTAGTGTAGCCATTTTTCTTGCAGTTCATTTGTCCCAACTGAGTATACTTGCCTAAACGTTTCGTATTGGAATTTTACCTAAAATTAAGTACTTCTTATGTCAAAAATGGATGTAAAAATGTGAAATCCCAACTAACATCTACAAAGCAGTGCGGAAACGAAGTTTTGCACACTTCGATTGTAAAGAAAATGCTTGCAGTCGCTTGTGCTATGGGATATTTCCAGGTTGGCAAACTGTATACAGCCTAAAAATATTTAATATTGTGTAATACATGTTTTATTATTGAATTGTATAGTTCTCACCTGATATTTATGCAATTTAGAACATTTATCTTCAATCAGACCCTTATAATAAATAACGTACATCCAATTTTCTTCAGTCTCAAAATTACTAAGGTAATCATCAATTTTGAAAGCGCCAAGTTCTATGGTAAATTCTCCTATAGTTGGCCAGCTAGTTAGGGATCTTCTTGAATCTATAACAGCATACTCGATGGATTCCTTATAAGCTGGATAATAGCCTCCACCATAATACTGATTGTTATCAGTAGCTCCATCGTCATCATCATCATCATCATCTGTTGTATCATACCAACTTACATACTCGTCTTCGTCTGGTACTTCTGCTTTCTCTGTTGGAACCTCAACTAAAGATTGCCATATTGTCTCTGCTTTTGCTAAAAATAATCATGGGTATTAGATAAAAACTCTTCTATTTACTTCAATTGTGTCATTTGACAGTGTGGAATCCCTACGACTCCAAATGACATGGAGGCCCTGAAAAGAGTCCAGAGGTTTTCACAAGATCCCCACAGCTCTAACAAATAACCACACTGAAAGAAAGAAGAGACAGTGGTTGAAAGATTTTAAATCCTAAACAAAATAAATTGGGAATGAATAATGGACATACATAGATACCAAGTATGAATTTATGTTTCATAATATGTTGAAGGCATATAATGCAGTTCCTAAGAGGTTCAGTTTACTACGCCCTAGATATAAATATTGGCACAATCAAAATTTAAGTGAGGCTAGAAAACTAAGCGATGAAGCATATAAAAAATGGAACAGCGAAAGAATCAAATGTCCAGAATAGAGTGGAATACAAAAGTAGGTACCTAAACAAAATGATGCTATCAAGACAATGAGGGAAGAAGAGATAAAATATTTTCAGACAAAAATTGATGAACATAGAAGAAATTCTGTCGGGCTGTGGCAAGTGTTGAAGCAGGAGATTATGCCAATTAATAAGCAGGAAAGTAAGTCAATGCTAGAAATTGAGTCTAAGGAAAGACTTGATGAAATTGACTAATCATGACCACTATATCCAATATTGAATAATACTGTTTCGGATCCTGTCGTGGCAACCCTCGTGAATTTTGTAGTAGTCTCCACAGAGGACCTACATGATATTGTATTTTCTCTGAGGATAAGAGTAGTCCACATAAACTGAATGTAGCTTTCATAAAAAATTGCTTTGATAATATTCCCAACCCTTTTCTAAATCTTATACACTACTCATTCATAAAAGGCACGGTGCCAAAGGACCTAAAGCACATCCTAAAGGTATGGTTTTCCCGTTAGTTGAAGGTTACTATCACTATCTCTAATAGGATTGGGGATAACGGCTGGATTTTTTACGTTTTCTTCTTTAGATAGCCAAACAAGTTTATTTTTTTTAAATAATTCTTTATTACCAACCAAGCTTACTATCTCTAACAATATGTTGAGCATTGTCGAAAAGGTTTTGGAGATGGTCGTGAATACAACAGTAAAAAGAATTTATCGAAACCAGCAATCTGCTGCAGGAGGTAGATTTAGGATTTCGCTCCAAGTATAGGGAAATATTTATGATGAACTGGTTGCAAGTGCTGTGCTCTTGAACCTGGGTTGGGTTTTCTGCAGAAATTAAGGGTTGTTGGGATTAAGAGAAAAGCATTTGATTGGGTGAGTTGAGTAGCTATTTGGAGAATAGAAGATAGAGAGTGAAGGGTAATGGTGTGGTTTCTAATCCTCTGGCTGATCTGAGTCTTCCTCAAAGCTCAAGGTAATTTTGAACCTCGTTATTCTTGTATTGTTGAGACCATATCTTTTACATCAAATTACATAGGCAGGTGTTCTCCTTACTTAACCCAGTGGGCAAAATTAATATTGAAGGTATAACTGTATGATTCTGCCACACTTTACTTACTGTGGAACTATTTTGGATAAATTAAATCAAAATTGAATACAGCGCCTACGAAAACTCCAAAAATGGTATAGACTTGTTCGGAAAGGATAGCATCTTTCTTTTCTCAGGGGAAACATTCTGTAACTAACGTCTGTCGATTTTAATCTGATACCCCAAAGGAATGTGAGCTGGTGGCTCCCTACATTAGAACGTCATTGGTTATACCTGACGTCACACCTATTTTTGCCATATGAAACACCCCCTCGCTCCTCATACGGAAAGTGTTAGATTAAAAACGACGGACTTTACATCAATAAGCAAACAAACAACTTGTAAAGTACCTGCACCATCGTCACAAATTTGATTCACCATGTCTGTTACAAAGCTGACTGGGTGCATAAATTGGTTGCAATCCACGAGAGGCTCTTCCTCTTGTATCCCATTTTCCGACCATGACTGTTCGGCATCACTTTCTTCTTCGAAAATCGCGTCATATTTATCATATCCGTCGCTGCCGCTGGAGCGCCTGAGTTGTAAGCTGTCAAGCACTCTCTCACTGGTTGATGATCCTGAAAATATAAAAGACTTTCAATAGTTGGTTTTGGTTATACAGGAAAACGTTTACGTTTGGTTTCATTAATTGATTTTTCAGCATATGCTTGAAGGCTTTCATCAGATGCAATAGCAGGACTAATCGAAAGTTCTGATACTAGGCTCGATTGGCTGGGCACGTTTACCTGTAATAATTTATTAATTAGGTATTACTTATAAGAAATGTGGGATATTAAAATGAGACAAGATAATGAACATTATATGCCGAACAAATAAAACCCAGCAAGTGGAAAACGAATTCACTATGGGTAGTAGGTTTCCGAAAAATCAATGGTTTTTCTTTGCGTACATCCTTTCATCACCTATGTCTGTTACTAGGCAATGAAGTTGTGAATTTGCCTGCTTGCTACGCGAATTGTATTGGGTGAAGCGGTTTCCGCCCTTTAGATTTTTGCTCCTTACGTATATTGGTATAGTGCTAGGCAGTTTCTGGCCAACGTCCTGATGCCTATGGTCTGTGTATTGCGTCTCTCTCGCCTGATGTCCAAGCTCTAGACTAGACACATGTATATAAGGGAACTTGCAAGTGAACTAAAATTTCCCAAATTCCTTTTAAATCGATAGTTTATACTGCACAATATTTATATGACCAATTTTAACTGATACCGCCCTTGTTACACAAAAAATACCACAAATTTGAAATAATAAATTTCCCGCCAAAACAATGCTTCCATGATGGCTACCTTTTTGACGTCACGATTCTGTGAACAAACCTGTCAATAAGGAACTTGCAAGTGAAATAAAATTTACGAAAGCAGTCCTTCACAATATTCTTCATCCATTGCCTTAATTTTCACAAAAAGCAAACTTTAACACACTTGAATAACACAAAAATAGCACTGCGTCAGCAGGAGTTCGTTTGCTGCGTTTATTGTTTACAAAATCTTGACGTGATGTGAGCTGTCATAGTCATATTGAAGTTTCGCGTTTTCGCGCCAAAGTTTTTGATTTGAATTTCAATAAAAAAAATTTCGTACAACGTATTAATTAAAATGGAAAAAAAGAAAACTATGTAATATCTGATCACTAGAAGTATCTAAAAAAAAATTAATTGAGAAATATGAAAATTCCCTCTTGAGTTCATCACACAATGATGAGATCCAGGATCCTCATGAAATAAAGAGTATTCATGAGCTTAAAATATTTCGAGAACAACTTAAAATATACTTGATTCGAAAGGTAATTTATAGTCTCCAGGAATTTTACGATTCATCCTAATTAGTCCTATATTTGGTTAGTTTTGTAATTGTAATTTATAAAGATTTGCTTTTTATTCCTATTGTTTAAAAAAAATATTTCAAGGGTGAATGGGGATTGGGGAGGGTATCCTCTGAATAATAGTTTGGTTTGGGATAGGTATAAGTCGCTTTGTCAATGGATCTTTTCAAGTTTATGTTTATGACAGTAAAGCTTATATCTATATATTTATATAAATAAATAAATAAATAAAGCAAAAGATATATTAATTAAAAACAGTTACCCAAAAAAAATAATAAATTCAATTTTCAAAGCACGGCAAGAAAAAGTAAATAATAACACCCAAGATGGAAATATAGATATAAAAAAAATAATTACTTATCCCTCCCATATATACCAGGAATGTCAGAGAACATAAATAAAATCTTTAAAGACAAAAATGTAACAATATGCCACAAAGGATTTAATTTATTACAAAAAAAATTTTCTCGGATAAAAAGCAAAACACCCATTAATAAAAAAAGTCACATCATTTACGAAATCCCATGCAACGATTGCCAAAAAGTCTATATTGGACAAACATCACAGTATCTTCAAAACCGATTGAATGGCCACAAATATGATAAAATTAACAAAACTGCCTTGAGCAAACACAAAGAGCAAGAATCCCACACTTTTGATTTTTCCAAAACAAAAGTTTTAAAAACCGAGAACAACCAAAATAAGCGTGAATTTCTAGAGATGATCTATATAAAAAAGAATGAGAATGCAATCAATGATAAAACAGACATAAAATTCCTAAGCAAAATCTATTTTAACTTAATTAACTAGACTTATCCATTAACTATTGTCGCGGCTTTGGGTTGCCTGCTGACAAAAATCTTGGGTTCGTTGTTCGTTTCGTTTATTCCAAAAATCAAAGTCCAATTAACACAGCAATAATTTATTCCACTTAACAAAACACTCTGACACTAATTACTTTATTAACAAACTCAACAATTAAACTCTTTACAATCACTATTTAAATCGTATCACACTCGAACTGAAACTAACTTACAAACCAATGCCGGCCTTCTTATATATCCCTAAATCTATTCCTGTGAAATCTAGAATACACACGATAATCTAATTTTCCAGATTAAAGTAGAATAATTCGCTAGATTCTAGTATTTCCGCGATCGATTCTTGACAGCCTGGCGGACGTTTAGCTTATTGTGACACTGCCCTCTTCTTAAGGTTGATCGCCCCGATCAACTTCACGCCCATGATATTTCGCCAACCTGTCCAGATGTACAACTTTCATCTTACTCCTGGTGTTGCGCTGGACTCGATAAACCAAATCATTGATCCTCTTGATTACTCTATAGGGTCCTTCCCATGCTGAAGACAATTTCGGTGATACTCCTTTCTTCCTTACTGGGTTATACAACCACACTAAATCACCTTCTTGAAATCCGACCGAATTGGCCTTCAAGTCGTATCTGGTCTTCATTCGGTCACTGGCTAGTTGAATATGCTCCCGAGCAAAATCATGGATACCCAGAAGTCGTGCCCTTACTTCGTCGGCATAATCTCGGATTTCTCTTCGTTCTTCTTCGGGTACTCCAAACATCAGATCGCAAGGTAACCTGAGTTCCCTTCCAAAAACAATTCTAGCCGGACTTTCACCTGTTGAATCGTGAACAGCCGCTCTGTAAGCCATTAAAAAGAGAGGCAAATGCTTGTCCCAATCTCGTTGGTTCTTTGCGACCACTTTTGTCAGGTGTTCCTCTATGGTCTTATTGCATCGTTCCACCACGCCATCAGACTGAGGGTGTAAAGGTGTTGTCCTTGTCTTACGAATGCCCATGATCTCACAAACTTTCTTAAAGATGGCAGATTCGAAGTTTCGTCCCTGGTCTGAATGTAACTCTAGTGGTACACCATGACGACTAAAAACTTCGTCCACTAGCACCCGGGCAACAGTGATGGCTTCTTGATTGGGAATAGCGAAAACTTCTGGCCATTTACTGAAGTAATCCATGATAACTAAGATGTATTTAATTAGGTAACGGCCCAATTAAGGACCGATTGAGAAGTGTTTTATCTCTGCAAGACCATCCGTGGACGCGTTTCGCTGTATCACAGCTCATCAGCACGGTTTAGGTCCCGCAGAGAGAAAACACAACCCATTTTTGGTTCCATCCCGGAACTGGGTTTAATACAAGTAAAATGAAGACAGGGTCTCCATCTATTTTCTGATTTTTAGTGTGCCGATCAGAAAATAGATGGAGACCCTGTCTTCATTTTACTTGTAAGATGTATTTGTTACCACGCTCTGACTCTGGGAACGGTCCTGCTACATCTATCGCTATTCTCTCAAATGGAAGACCAACGTTGTACTGTTTCATGGGCCCCCGAGATCTTAGTTTAGGGCCTTTACTGGTAGCACAGATGTCGCATTTTCGGCACCAGCTTTTAACGTCTTCATGGTAGTGAACCCAGTAAAAACGTTCCCGAATTTTGTCCAAAGTCTTGTTAACTCCGAAATGTGCCCCTGAGGTTCCGTCGTGTATTTCTTTTAATACATCTTCCACTCGGTCTTTTGGGATAACCTGTTGGCCCTTGGTGGATTTCTCATCGGCACTTTCCCAAACTCTTTTGAGCAAACCATTTTCTACGGCCAGAGAGTTCCACTGGGCCCACAACGCCTTGTAAATCAAGCTTTTGTTTGACACTTCCCCCCATTCTGGCCTACATTCACCATTTTCTTTAAGATGTAGAATTTGCCCGATGTCCTGGTCTGCCTCCTGATCTTCTCTCATTTGCTTGGTAGTCCATTTGTCATCGACGATCAGGCCCGTTCTTCTTACAGCTGGACTAGTGTTTTTCTCATGTGTATCGATTCTTTGACAATGTTTGCATTTGCAATCTTCTTTACATGGCCGTCTAGACAGAGCGTCAGCATTTTTATGCAGGTTTCCAGGTCGATGTTTAATTTGGAAATCGTATTGCTGCAATTTCTCAATCCATCTAGCAAGCTGTCCTTCAGGAGTTTTCATTTCTAAAAGCCATTTTAGAGCTGCGTGATCTGTTCGAATTAGAAACTTGCGTCCGTAGAGATACTTATGAAAATGGTCGACTGCTTTTACTATGGCAAGCAACTCTCTTCTGGTGACACAATAATTTCGTTCCGGCTTTGATAATGTTCTGGTGTAGTACTCCACGACATGTTCTTGTGAACTTTGGATTTGTGAAAGGACAGCTCCAACACTGGTGTTACTTGCATCTGTGTCCAAAATCAACATGCCTTTGTGATCAGGATAGGACAACACTGGGCTCGTACATAATGCTCCTTTCAATTTTCTAAATGCGGAATCGCATTCTTGGGTCCAATTGAATGTTGATTTTTCTTCTGTTAATCGATGAAGTGGAGCAGCTATATTGGCGAATCCTTCCACAAATCTTCGATAATAAGAACATAATCCTAGAAAACTCCTTAGTTCATGTTTGTCGCGTGGTTTTGGCCAGTCCCTGACAGCATCTATTTTTCCTTCCATAACTTGTATGCCCTCCTCAGATACCACGTGACCTAAGAATTCCACTTTCTTTTGAAATAGGAAACACTTATTTGGATTGAGTTTTAAGTTGGCATTCCGGAAGCGGTCAAAAACTTCTTTCAGGTTATTGAGATGTTCTTGGAACGAATTTCCCATAATCATGACATCATCCAAATATACCAGGCAAGTTCTCCATGTAAGACCTCGCAAAACAAGATGCATCAGTCGCTCAAACGTAGCTGGAGCATTACACAATCCGAAAGGCATTACATTAAACTGGTATAGCCCGCTTCCGGTACTGAAGGCAGTTTTCTCTTTGTCATCGTCATGTATTGCCACTTGCCAGTATCCACTTTTGAGATCCAAGGTGGAAAACCATTTGGAGCCCGATAGAGTTGTTAGTGTATCGTCTATTCTTGGGAGAGGGAAGCTGTCCTTCTTGGTGACGTCATTGAGCTTTCGGTAGTCCACACAAAATCTAAGACTCCCATCTTTCTTCGTAACCAGTACTACTGGCGCGGACCATGGACTATTTGACTCTTCAATGACTCCCTCTTGAAGCATTTTATCAATTTGGTTTTCCACTTCCTGTTGCTTAGCTACTGGCATACGTCGTGGTGGTTGTCTAATTGGGTGTGCCAATCCAGTATCAATTTTGTGTTGAATTAAACTGGTTCGTCCGGTTTGATTGTCCATCACAAATACGTCTGCTTCTTTCAAAATGAAATCTGTGGCTTCTTGAAGTCTATCTGGATCAAGATGTTTCCATGATTTCGCCAAAGTCTGCATCAAGGTGTCTGTATCCAATTTGGATTTCACAAAGTGTCGCTTATCTGGTAGGTCACAGTTCGATATTTGCTTCACTGGTTCGAGAGCTCCAATAATGTCTCCTTCTTTTATTCGTACTGTTTCGGAAGAAACATTGGCAATTCTTATCATAATGTCTCCATTTGTTCTTACTAGAGTCTTTCCAACAAGAAACCTTTCTGGTTTATCTCCAATGAAATTACGTGTTAGCCCAACGCAGCACCCAGGGTTTGTTTCTAATCTTCCGCAAATGATCTTCTCAGTACTTCCAGGAATCCTCACTGCGGTTGTGGCCAAGATCTTAACGTCATCGGATTCTTCTTGTGTTGTTAGGACAATTTCTTCATTACCAAATTTAAGGATGTTCATGGAAGGGTCAAAAGAGAACCCATGTTCGCCGATCAAATCCATTCCCAAAATAAAATCATCTTCTATATCGGCGACTAATGTTTTGTGCCTGAAGGTGGTAGATCCAAAAGTGAGCTCAACCATAGCTTCTCCTTGAACTGGTGCAGATTCGCCGGTGACTGTTCGTAGTGACAGGTTTCTAGTGAGCGGTTGGATTGCCCGAGACTTGACTAATGTTCTTTTAATTATGGAAACTTCAGCACCCGTATCAAAAGTGATAGTTTTCAATTCTCCATTAATTTGTCCTTCGAATGTTAATCCTCTATAATGACTGCCCAATGATTTTATGTTAACAACCCTGGGGGCTTCGTCATTACTAACCAGCATTCGCCCCTCCATACTGGTTAGTTCTCGTTTCCCTGTCTGTTATTAGGGCTGGCGTCTCTTGATCTCGAAAAGCGTTGGAAACGATCCCTTGATGGAGAGGGCATTCTTACTCTACAATCTCGTTGAATGTGTCCAACCTTATGGCAGCGATAACATTCTAATCGATTTCTTTGTGTTGGTGTTTGTCTGGAGTCGTTTCCCGTTTTTCTGTCTTCTCGTAATATTTTCTTTATTTCCTCCATGAAATTACTCATAAGGTTCTCGAAACTGCCATCCTCTTTTGATGATTGTTTTTCCTTTGGGTCCTCAATGGACACTGCTCGTATTCTGGGTCGTGAGGCACCAAATATTGCTTCCAGTTCTAATGCTCGGACAAGGGCTTCGCTACTTTGTCTGAACTTGGACATTCTTAGGTTTTCCTGGATCTTCGAATCTCTGAGACCATCAATAAACGCAGATACTGCCATCCATTCCTGCATGTCTTCCCCAGCTGCAGGAAACGCCAAACTCACTAGCCTTTTAACTTCCGATTCGAATTCTTGTAGACTCTCGCCGGGTTTTTGAACTCTAGATTTAACTTGAGTTCTGAATACTTCTTGTCTGTAATGGTCTCCGAAGCGCAGTTCTAAAGTTTGACTAAGATGCTGGTAATTCTGCTGGTAGACTGAAGGAATGGACTGAAGAAGGTCTAAGGCAGGTCCTCGTAGCGCCACTATTAGTGCTGTAGCTTTTTCTTGGTCGTTCCATCCGTTGGTATTTGCAGCAGCTTCAAATTGTCGAATATACATAGTCCAGGACGTAGAATCGTCGAAAGTTGGTGGTTTTATCTTCATACTGGAGAATGCTCCAACACTAGCTGGATTGATGGACTGTATTTCTAATCTACGCATCTTATCTTCGAGTGCTTGAACTTGGTCCTCAACTTCTTGTCTTAATTGCTGAACATCGGCTTTGACCTCAGCTTTAACTCCCTGAACGTCGTTTTCAACTTCTTGAACATCGATTTTGACTTCAGTTTTTACTTCCTGAACGTCGTGTTTAACTTCTTGCACATCGTCTTTAACTTTTTCAATCTTCTGGTCTAGGTTAGCGACAGTTCCTTGTATGGTTTGGAATATCTTCTGTAGTTTTCCAAGGTCTTCTTGCCGTTCTTGTTGTCGCCTAGCTTCTTCTTCTTGTTTTTCTTTTTGTCGTCTGGCCTCTTCTTGTTGTCGTCTAGCTTCTTCGTCTTGTTTTTCTTGTTGTCGTCTGGCTTCTTCGTCTTGTTTTTCTTGTTGTCTTCTAGCTTCTTCTTGTTGTCGTCTAGCTTCTTCGTCTTGTTTTTCTTGTAGTCGTCTGGCTTTTTCGTCTTGTTTTTCTTGTAGTCGTCTAGCTTCTTCGTCCTGTTTTTCTTGTTGTCTTCTAGCTTCTTCGTCTTGTTTTTCTTGTTGTCGTTTGGTCTCTTGAAGTTCCAACATTTTGCGCAGGAGTTCTTCAACTTTTTGTTCGTCCATTTTGGTTTGTTGTCTTGTGATAGGCATATACAGAATGTTCTAGAATTTCCCTCGAACTTTCTTCAAATATCTTTTCTGGTCTTTGCTCGAAGCTCCAAACACGCCGGTGAAGTCACAAATTGGATAACTTGCCTTATTCTAGAATAGAATGTTCTGGAATTTTCTTGAAACTTCTTTTCTAGATGTCGATTGATACAGCAAACACGTTGGTGAAGTCACAATTTCGATATCTCCCTTGGTTTCCAAATAGAATGTTCTAGAATTTTCCCGAAACTCCTCGAAAAACTTCTTCTGAATGACGATTGATGTTCCGAATACGTCGGCGAAGTCACAAATTCGATATCTCCCTTAGTTTCCAAATAGAATTTTCTAGAACTCACTCGAAGATTCACTATCACAGTCTAAATCGGGTATAGAGTCAGTTCCGGGGTAATTCACACGATCGGTTGAGTCTCTTTTTGTGATTGTCACTGTTTGCACTGCACTAACTGTCCCAGTGTTCACTTAGTGTTCAGTTTTTACACTACACTAGTGTCCCCACACTTCCGCAATTGGATTTCACTCTGCAGTCCTTTATATCCCACTTCTTGGCACCAATGTCGCGGCTTTGGGTTGCCTGCTGACAAAAATCTTGGGTTCGTTGTTCGTTTCGTTTATTCCAAAAATCAAAGTCCAATTAACACAGCAATAATTTATTCCACTTAACAAAACACTCTGACACTAATTACTTTATTAACAAACTCAACAATTAAACTCTTTACAATCACTATTTAAATCGTATCACACTCGAACTGAAACTAACTTACAAACCAATGCCGGCCTTCTTATATATCCCTAAATCTATTCCTGTGAAATCTAGAATACACACGATAATCTAATTTTCCAGATTAAAGTAGAATAATTCGCTAGATTCTAGTATTTCCGCGATCGATTCTTGACAGCCTGGCGGACGTTTAGCTTATTGTGACACTATTATTAAAATTATTTATAAAAAAAAAGAAAAAGAAACTATGACGTTGCAACACAATAAAAGTAAGAATTCCATATTGTAGACATGCACCTAGTACAGTCGTTGAAAGACATCAATATGAAGACGACAAAATGAATTTTTATTACGATTTTAAAGTATACGTGTCGTCCTTTTGTTCTTGTAAAGTTGATTGTGTTTATCGTAATTATTGTAAGTGTCCAATTAACGAAAGGTAAGTCGATAAAGATTCAAAAAAAATGTTAAGATGTAATTTGATAAATCTATTGAGGTTTTAAAATTCTATGTAATCGTAGTCCTTAAGAAAAAAATATGCATAACAGTTTGTTTCATCATTAAATAATTTTATTTTATACATTTATACTATTAATAAATGTTTTTATTATTTTTTGTGGTTACTGATGAAGGTCGAAAATGACCGAAACGTTTAAAATAAATATCCTATGAAATCTGACTGACCTTTTAACATTGTTGAACCTATTCCCAAGAAAATTTCAACGAAGAGTATATTTATATATTTATATCTTATTATATCTAGCAGATATCTATCTTACCAGTATACAGGCATCATTTTCTCCATCAGAGCTCTCAAAGCAGTGGACTTCGGTACGACCTCTCTGTCCTGGTTTTTTCGGTAAAACGTGAACCCCTTTCTTGATGAGCTCATGATTCTCTTCAGGACTTAGATTTGAAGTCGACATTGATAAATGTTTTTATAATAAAAATAGAAACAAACAATGTATAGAGAAAAAAAAATTAAATGACAATGACAATTTGTCAACAAGGTGTAAATTGACATGGTCATCTGACTCGACCAATGATATCATGACTCGACTCACTGACAATAGCTCTGTTCCAACCGTCATGAGAACCGTTCTAAAATGGTAATTTCCAGTCGATAAATTCATTTGTCAAGTAGAATAAAGGTTCAACTTATTGAATAATTAGTGGGCAACTGGAAATTACTGGTTCTGGAACCGTTCTCATGTCGGTTGGAACAGACCTATTACTATACTACATAGATATTATGGAAGGCGAATTCCATGAATTCTCAGTTCTCGGTAGACTTGGAAAGTATACCTATGTCTACTCCTACCAATACCTACCAAATACCAATGAACAATAACTATAATGAAACTACAAAAAGGCGAGTTTGGATCATCACATCATCATCACCAGTGATTATTAGGTCTGTTTTTGCAGAAATCACAAATCAGTCAGAGTGAATTTCATTGGTTGAAACTAGTTTGCTGACTGTTTCTGACTGTTTTCAACCAATGAAATTCGCTCTGACTGGTTTGTGATTTCTGCAGAAACAGACCTATTAATAAAAACACAATGGGAAATTTATTAAATTAATGGTAATAATTAATTATACCGCTTCACAAACAAAATAAAATAAATCGTTGTATTCTTTTTTATACCATTGGCCATATAGTTATTATTGAAGCCCATCTCAACTAAGTAATGATTCACATGATATAGTCGGGTTTTGGGTTTGCACTCTAATTGGTATAGTCGAATTTATATTTCCAGAATCCAACCAAATCTATTCTGGATATCAAACTCGCCAAAAGCCTCCGAAAATATTTTGATAATATAACGTAGCATCTTGTTTCTTTCATTGTAGAATCAACCGGTCAACACTTGTATCAAATACGGACCAGTTACTTATGTACCCATTATTTAAATATTGTTAATAATATAAATTAATATACAAAATGCACATTTATATGTATACATACAGGATCATTTATATTTTGACACTAAGGTCCAGTTCTATTATTTTCTGGAATTTTGGGACAAAAATGGCCCATCTTAGAGCGTAAAGCATGCATAACTTGGATTTTTTTGAATGATATTTTTAGCTGATAAAACTTGTTTTTTTTTAGTTAAAAAATTTGTTATTGTGTTGTTCTACTATTTGTGCTTGTGAAACAATTTAGGTTTACACTATAATGCTTCGATTAAAATTACCTATTGAGTTAAATTACCTTTCAATAATCTACTGACTGGATAAAAATTCAGTACAGTCAATTGGAAATAATTATTCCAACTTTTCAACTATGAGTACACGAAACAAAACATGGACGCACCCAAAGGTCCCAAAGGATATAAGAAATTTTCAAAAATATATCGAAAACTCCTTGAAAAACAAAGCAACAACTCAAAGTAAAAATTATTTAAATTAAAACATAATTGAAACATTAATGGATGTACAATAGAAGTACTGCCCAGAAAACCCTAAACAATAAAAAAGCAGCCCAGAAACACAAACAAAATGGAAGAACATAGAGCACTTAAGAAGAAATCAAATTTAGACCAACTACATACAGATATGACAAAGTAGTATAGTTTATCTATTCTCAATTGAACCACCACAAAAAATAAATTTCAATAATAAATCAATATAATTAAGATATTATTCTACGTAAAATTCAATTTATATTTATTATTATACCTATTTGAAATATTTTGGAATAAACCTGCTTCCGCCTCTGACAAAAAGAACTAACTACTGTGAAACTACACCGCCGGCGCCGCGCCGTCGCGTCGCACAGGCAAATAAACATGAAGAAATCTTTTCGAAATTTCGTTCCGACAACCAGTATTCCATTTTGTCGATTGTAGTTTCTAGTATGGAATATCCAAAACATTTATATAGGTTTTTTGAGTATTTATTCACGCCAAAGATGCCTGATATTTGATCGTACCTTATACATAGCTTGAAAATAAAATGGTTCAATTTAGAATAGATAAACTATACAAACAATAGAAGTAATAGAACAACAAGCCTGATAGAAGTATTGAGGAAACAACTTACAAATGGTGAAAAAGAAATTTTAAAGACAAGGAAGGGAACATAATATATAACATCAAATAGAGAACAAAATAATAAAGATCATAGAAGAATTTTACAAAGAACTGTACACAAACAAAAATCTCGACCTAGCAAGTCATAATCTACAACAGTTTTATATACCTAATTATATGTATCTTAAAAAACCAGTCACAATAAAATGTCAATTTTTTTTTGGCACCACGTCGGCGTACAAAGGTCCTTCCGTAAGCTTAAGTCTAGAGGTCAAAGTAAACCAAACACAATAAAATAAACGATTTATTTAAAAATCCAGTTGTAGGATTTGCACCATTATTTTGATAGCGTACCGATAGCGATTGGGTATCTTGAACATAGGCAGGTGTGGTCAACTTATAAGTATACCTAATATCAAATCTCTTAAGGAATTCATATCTAGCCTAGGAAAATTTGGAATGTGTTCCTCGGTTAGCCTTGACCACCTTCCATGTCTCCTGTCCAAATTGTTGTTTAATACTATTTCCTTTATTCCTTCAATCCATTTACTAGTCGAGATGATCTCTCTAGAATCCTGTTGGCCATTTCGACGTTTGCTTCATTAACATTAATTACGTAGCAATACTTGTTTATAATTGCTCCGCAAACTCTATAGAAGTCTTTTAAATTGTTAATGTGGGGCATTATAATTGTCTCAGAAAAAAAATTGAATTTTTTTACCAAACGCGATTCATTGGCGTCCTCCGTAGAGAGTTGTTGTTGTCCAGGCCTAACACTGTAGGGCATTCTGTGTTCTAAGCCCAGTGCGTCTATCATGCCAATAGCATCACGATATCCTCTGTCTACAATAAAAATATCTCTCTCTTGGAACCAGCGTCTAATCCCATTCATATCATTTTGAAACTCTGAAGACATTAGAGATGCATCATGATTACCATGGTCAGAAAAGTATGGGCCATGTATAAAGTGCGACAACTGAGTGAACCTTGGTAACGTATGAAGTAGCAGAGGGGAAGACGAAAACCTATACTATACGACGCGACGTGTCCCCGACGTGGTGCATTGCGAAAATTGCGGTTACCCTGACGCGACGACTCGCGTATATGTATATTTTATCTCGCGCCAATCAGGAGGGTTTTGCCCACATTCCTTCCACACAGGTTCATTCAGTTGTCGCACTTTATCTGAAATGTATCCATTGGTGGCGACAATTAAAATTGGCTTTACCAAATGTTTGCCTTTGTGAACACAAAAAGATTGTCTTAGGGCCTTTTTTGTATTGAACTGTATGTTTCGTCAATATAAACTATTGCTTTTCTGTCAGGGTTATATAAGTAACTGATTTGCAAAATCAGTAATATGGCGGTCGGTAAACTGTTGCCGTGTAATAGAGTTAGTTCCTACATTTTCAAATACAAACTTTCCATCAAGAATTCGCGAACTGTGCTCATTGCTAAACTTACTGCTTGTCTAGTGCTATAATTGAAAATAGCTTTTAGGAAGTTGTCCGAAATACCTTGCTTAATTTTGCATAAAAATGTTAATAGGTGCTTTTGCGAAATATTTCTATTTCCAACATTTACAGGATTGCAGTAGGTGAAGAGATCTCGAAATTGATTCCTATCGATAGGAGACAAAGATACAAATTCCTCAGCAGTAAAACTAAAAACGTCAATTAATTCCCATTTTTTGGTGTTGTACCTTTTCCTGAGCCCCTGCAAAAATGCGCTGAGCTGTGGACTGTGGACCTTTAATAACGTATGGTCTGTTGACATACTCTAATCCTCGAAAAAGAGGCCTAAGAATAATTCCGTTTTCATCTAGATGATAAATGCATGACCTGACATTTTCGGATATATAGGTAGATATTTTCGGTAACAAAAACTTCTACTCGACGCTCTATACTTAATCGCTGTAGATTTTCGATATGACCACAAATTAAACAAGTGCTATTGGTAGTCTGCTTTAGCACATTTACCCTCAAAAAAGTTGGATCGTCTTCAATAAGCTGAATTTCGTTAACAATAGAATTGTAACAATTTATGCATAACCTGGTCCGTTCCGATAATTGTATGAGGGACCTTCCAGTAGCTTCTCGTCTAGTCAAGGCTATTTGACGTTTGACAGCATTGTTTTCACCACCAATTCTTTTCATGGTTTTTTACTCGGCCTACTACTGTATGCACAGAAAGCACATCATATGAATTCTGTCTCCAAAACGGTTCATTATTATAATTATTTAGCTCACTATCTAAAACTAATAACAGCAGGTATATTGAGTCCAAAGGAAAAAGCCACACGCGTCATCGATTGGTCATCGGTCTGTCTCACTTTAACATATTCCTAGTCGTTTCACAGAGTGAGACAGAAGATGACTAGGCGATGGCTTTTACTTAGTTGGATTGAGTTTCACTAAATAAAATATATCCAAAAATTCAATAGAACTTTTAAACCCGACTCTCACTCACAGATTTCGCAATTCTTACAACCATCGGAGTCGTTGCAAATGAATGAAATGATAACACCATTATATGGAACCTATTTAACACATAATATATATTTATCTACGTCAGTGAGTGAGATACACAACTCGTACTACGCATTCGTTATGCAACTTCCAGACTAATCCACACACGTATCTTAAGTATCCGGTTAACTCACTTGTATCGTAAATATCTATCATTTTATTGAAATCCCCATCCAATAGAACAAACGCTAAACGCTATGATTTTTGTCCCATAATATAACGCACTGCGCACACTGCGACACGCTTCGCCTTGTACTTCTAATTCCACCGCACGCCCCTGGCGACACCGCCGTCTTTTGACCTTGAACAAAAACTTCGAAATTGATCCCCATATACGCGAGAACATAAACATTTCCCAATGTTAAAATATGATTTAATTTCTTTTAGCACCCTGTATTTTGGTAACAAATCGTGTGGCTCATATTTAAAGAAAAAAACTTATTGTGACCTCAAAAATACGCCTGGTCAGTTTTTTAAACTTAAAAAAAAAAATATATGTATTTATTTTTCTGTCACTT